TGGCTATGATCTAACCTCCCCAGTAAAGATGCTATTGGTGGCTATGATCTAACATATCTCCCCAGTAAAGATGCTATTGGTGGCTATGATCTAACATATCTCCCCAGTAAAGATGCTATTGGTGGCTAAGATCTCACATATCTCCCCAGTAAAGATACTATTGGTGGCTATGATCTAACCTCCTCTATAAAGATGCTATTGGTGGCTATGATCTCACATATCTCCCCAGTAAAGATACTATTGGTGGCTATGATCTAACCTCCCCAGTAAAGATGCTATTGGTGGCTATGATCTAACATATCTCCCCAGTAAAGATGCTATTGGTGGCTATGATCTAACCTCCCCAGTAAAGATACAATTGGTGGCTATGATCTAACCTCCCCAGTAAATATGCTATTGGTGGCTATGATCTAACATATCTCCCCAGTAAAGATGCTATTGGTGTGGCTATGATCTAACATATCTCCCCAGTAAAGATGCTATTGGTGGCTATGATCTAACCTCCCCAGTAAAGATGCTATTGGTGGCTATGATCTAACCTCCCCAGTAAAGATGCTATTGGTGGCTATGATCTAACATATCTCCCCAGTAAAGATACAATTGGTGGCTATGATCTAACATCTCCCCAGTAAGGATGCTATTGGTGGCTATGATCTCACATATCTCCCCAGTAAAGATACAATTGGTGGCTATGATCTAACATATCTCCCCAGTAAGAATGCTATTGGTGGCTATGATCTCACATATCTCCCCAGTAAAGATACAATTGGTGGCTATGATCTAACCTCCCCAGTAAAGATACAATCGGTGGCTATGATCTAACATATCTCCCCAGTAAAGATGCTATTGGTGTGGCTATGATCTAACATATCTCCCCAGTAAAGATGCTATTGGTGGCTATGATCTAACCTCCCCAGTAAAGATGCTATTGGTGGCTATGATCTAACCTCCCCAGTAAAGATACAATTGGTGGCTATGATCTAACCTCCCCAGTAAAGATGCTATTGGAGGCTATGATCTAACCTCCCCAGTAAAGATGCTATTGGTGGCTATGATCTAACAAATCTCCCCAGTAAAGATACAATTGGTGGCTATGATCTAACATTTTCCTAGTAACTATTGTGTTGGAGGCTATGATCTAACATATCTCCCCAGTAAAGATGCTATTGTCGGCTATGATCTAACATATCTCCTCAGTAAAGAAGCTATTGGAGGCTATGATCTAACATATCTCCCCAGTAAAGATGCTATTGGAGGCTATGATCTAACATATCTCCCAAGTAAAGATGCTATTGGTGGTTATGATCTAACATATCTCCCCAGTAAAGATGCTATAGGTGTCTATGATCTAACCTCCTCTATAAAGATGCTATTGGTGGCTATGATCTCACATATCTCCCCAGTAAAGATACTATTGGTGGCTATGATCTAACCTCCCCAGTAAAGATGCTATTGGTGGCTATGATCTAACCTCCCCAGTAAAGATGCTATTGGTGGCTATGATCTAACCTCCCCAGTAAAGATGCTATTGGAGGCTATGATCTAACATATCTCCCCAGTAAAGATGCTATTGGTGGCTATGATCTAACATATCTCCCCAGTAAAGATGCTATTGGTGTGGTTATGATCTAACATATCTCCCCAGTAAAGATGCTATTGGTGGCTATGATCTAACCTCCCCAGTAAAGATGCTATTGGTGGCTATGATCTAACCTCCCCAGTAAAGATGCTATTGGTGGCTATGATCTAACATATCTCCCCAGTAAAGATACAATTGGTGGCTATGATCTAACATATCTCCCCAGTAAGAATGCTATTGGTGGCTATGATCTCACATATCTCCCCAGTAAAGATACTATTGGTGGCTATGATCTAACCTCCCCAGTAAAGATACAATCGGTGGCTATGATCTAACATTTCCCTAGTAACTATTGTGTTGGAGGCTATGATCTAACATATCTCCCCAGTAAAGATGCTATTGGTGGCTATGATCTAACATATCTCCCCAGTAAAGATGCTATTGGTGTGGCTATGATCTAACATATCTCCCCAGTAAAGATGCTATTGGTGGCTATGATCTAACCTCCCCAGTAAAGATGCTATTGCTGGCTATGATCTAACCTCCCCAGTAAAGATACAATTGGTGGCTATGATCTAACCTCCCCAGTAAAGATGCTATTGGAGGCTATGATCTAACCTCCCCAGTAAAGATGCTATTGGTGGCTATGATCTAACATATCTCCCCAGTAAAGATACAATTGGTGGCTATGATCTAACATTTTCCTAGTAACTATTGTGTTGGAGGCTATGATCTAACATATCTCCTCAGTAAAGAAGCTATTGGAGGCTATGATCTAACATATCTCCCCAGTAAAGATGCTATTGGAGGCTATGATCTAACATATCTCCCAAGTAAAGATGCTATTGGTGGTTATGATCTAACATATCTCCCCAGTAAAGATGCTATTGGTGTCTATGATCTAACATATCTCCCCAGTAAAGATGCTATTGGTGGCTATGATCTAACCTCCCCAGTAAAGATGCTATTGGAGGCTATGATCTAACCTCCCCAGTAAAGATGCTATTGGAGGCTATGATCTAACATATCTCCCCAGTAAAGATACTATTGGTGGCTATGATCTAACGTATCTCCCCAGTAAAGATACTTTTGGCGGCTATGATCTAACATATCTCCCCAGTAAAGATACTATTGGTGGCTATGATCTAACATATCTCCCCAGTAAAGAATTTATTGGAGACTGTTGCGAAAAACTGCTCAAGCACTGTCCACACTCTGGAACTTGTATCTGCTATTGAACGGGTGGGTATAGTTACACCTCACGGAAATTTGCCTCCAGTAAAACCGGAAAAATTTATGCACCCTCTGGGCAACTTCATCAACTTGACCAGTAGGTTTGTTTTCATTTGACTGTTTCTTTTGTTATATTGTCTTGTACGTTATTGTTACGTCCCCTATATTTCATACATATTAGTTACGTCCCTTGATTGTGAAGTGTGTAAGCTGTTTGTTTACGACCAGTACTGAGTGTACAAGACCTAGTGTTTAGGTAAACTTGATGGCGCCGGCTATGTTCGAAGTACGGCCTAGTGTTTAAATAAACTTGATGGTGCCAGCTATGTTCGAAGTACGGCCTAGTGTTTAAGTAAACTTGATGGTGCCAGCTATGTTTGAAGTACGGCCTAGTGTTTAAGTAAACTTGATGGTGCCAGCTATGTTGGAAGTACGGCCTAGTGTTTAAGTAAACTTGATGGTGCCAGCTATGTTTGAAGTACGGCCTAGTGTTTAAGTAAACTTGATGGTGCCAGCTATGTTGGAAGTACGGCCTAGTGTTTAAGTAAACTTGATGGTGCCAGCTATGTTCGAAGTACGGCCTAGTGTTTAAGTAAACTTGATGGTGCCAGCTATGTTCGAAGTACGGCCTAGTGTTTAAGTAAACTTGATGGCGCCGGTTATGTTCGAAGTACGAGCTGGTGTTAAAGTAAACTTGATGACGCCGGCATTGTTAGAAGTACGGCCTAGTGTTTAAGTAAACTTGATGGTGCCGGCTGTTATGTTCAAAGTACGACGAGTTGAGTGATGTAACACCTGCTTTTAGCGGATAAGTTTTTACTGTTTCTAAAAAAGAATGTTGTTTTAGTTTGTAAACGTTTTGACTTTCTGAGTGCTTACTTCCTTTCGTGCTGAAAGTTGGTCAAAAACTCATAAATTGGAAAAAGTTTGTCTCTATAAGCAGTGGAGCCTAGCATATGTTAGAAATGGGATATACTCGTAGAAAAGCTTAGAAAATTATGAAAGAACTTCATTATTATCTTAAAGTTTTGATTCAGAATTTTTTGCTGAGTATAACATGACTACCTTGAACCAGAGTTTCTTCCAGGCATCTCTTCGGGGAAAATTGTTTACCCCCCCCCCCCCCCCCCGAACGAAATGAAATTTATATAATTTATATAGAAACTATATACTTTTAAAAGTGTCCGCCCCCCCCCCCCCTAAGAAAGTCTACCGCCCCCCCCCCCCCCCCGAAAATTTCAAGTGCCCACCCGGAGAAAAAAGTCTGGAAGAAACACTGCCTTGAACCCACTTGCTTTGGGGCCAATGTTTAATAGAACTTTATTTACTACTGTCCGAATGGTGTTCGACTTGATGTTAAATCAATGGTTTCAATTTCACTCTATTACCTAATTTTTTTTTTCGTTTGCTGTAGCTTTACTGAAACAGTAATCACGACACAGGAAATAAAAGTATGAGACAAAATAGTCACAATGTTGTGTCTTTCAGACTTAGGTCTCAGCTTTGTCTACCTGCCTAGTGACTGGTGTCTTTCAAACTTAGGTCTAAGATTTGTCTACCTGTCTAGTGACTTGTGTCTTTCAGACTTAGGTCTCAGCTTTGTCTACCTGTCTAGTGACTTGTGTCTTTCAGACTTAGGTCTAAGCTTTGTCTACCTGTCTAGTGACTTGTGTCTTTCAGACTTAGGTCTCAGCTTTGTCTACCTGTCTAGTGACTTGTGTCTTTCAGACTTAGGTCTCAGCTTTGTCTACCTGTCTAGTGACTTGTGTCTTTCAGACTTAGGTCTCAGCTTTGTCTACCTGTCTAGTGACTTGTGTCTTTCAGACTTAGGTCTCAGCTTTGTCTACCTGTCTAGTGACTTGTGTCTTTCAGACTTAGGTCTCAGCTTTGTCTACCTGTCTAGTGACTTGTGTCTTTCAGACTTAGGTCTCAGCTTTGTCTACCTGTCTAGTGACTTGTGTCTTTCAGACTTAGGTCTCAGCTTTGTTTACCTGTCTAGTGACTTGTGTCTTTCAGACTTAGGTCTCAGCTTTGTCTACCTGTCTAGAGACTTGTGTCTTCCAGACTTAGGTCTCAGCTATGAATACCTGTCGGACGACATGCTGAGTTTTCTGGCCATCAAAACCAAACGCCTGCAGGTAATGACAGTTGATGCCAGCGATTACAAAACGGCGGAGAGTCTAACGACATCTAGAGCATGGATCAGACTCAAGTATGCTTGTCCAGAACTCAAAGTCAAATTTTTCTGCAAACCCTTGGCTGTGAGCATTGTCTGTTATTATAAACTCACACATCAGTTACTCAACTCACACAGCAAAGTTACTTGACTCACACGAAGCTTACAGCAATCACTCAAATTACACCCAGCTTACATATTGCAAATCTATCACTCAATCTACACCAAGCTTACATATGACACCATTCACTCAACTTACACAGATGTAATTAATAGAAAATAAAAATGCACTCTGATGCTCTCAGTCCCCAGATTGTGTGGACTAATGACACCTTCTCTTAGTAACTGCTCAGAAATAGTTTATTTAAACACCCTTTTATAGCCTTCGTCTGGCTCTATGATTGTAAACATTCTGGTGAACCATAACACACCAGACTATTAGGGTGATGGTGTCTAGCTAGTTATCTCATCTTCGGTTTTGGAATATGTTAATCTTTCGAGTGATTTAATTTTGTTATCCCCCATTAGTTTCGAAACCGTTTATATTATTTTTAATGACTAACTAAATATCAAAATTAAATTAAATGGAAAGTTTGAACAAAATCGCTGAATTAGAATTAGGTCAAAATCGAGTTACAAAATTAGCAACAAACCCACAAACAAACAAACATATGATGCGAACTAAATAAAAGCTGGTAAAAATGATAACACACGGCTACACCGTCCTTTTTGTGCTATGTGATTTTTCTGTATATCTTTATTGCACAGAGAGTCCACGGTATCCAATACGATATCTAACGTTGATTTACTGAAAAGTTTAAAACTACTTACAGCTGATAAATGTCAAGCCTTTAATCTAACAAATTTTGAACTTTTTTTCTGTAGGAGAAGTTTTTTGATCCAGGCTTGACTGAATTTCTGACGCCATCAACACCATTACACACTCTTCGCTGGAACACTGGCAGGCTGATCTCTGTAGAAAACATTCAACGATGCTTGCAGCATGTCGCCAAACACTTTCAGGTGAGTTGATCTACCACATCAACACACACTTTGAGTTGATCTACCACATCATCACACACTTTCAGGTCAGTTGATCTGCCACATCAACACACACTTTCAGGTGAGTTGATCTAGCACATCACCACACACATCACCACACACTTTCAGGTGAGTTGATCTAGCACATAACCACACACTTTCAGGTGAGTAGATCTAGCAGATCACAACACACATGACACACTTTCAGGTGAGTTGATCTAGCACATCACCACACACTTCTAGGTGAGTTTATCTAGTACATCACACTTTTTGGGAAAACCCCTAGAAATTTTTTATTTCAAATTGTATAAAAATATTTTAGGTGAACTACTATTAGATTTTGCATTGTTTTTAAATATTTTTCACCATACCGATTTTTGAAAATATGTATAGAGTGTTTTCTGGTACGAAATCTAGCCAGCTGAATCTATTAGTCCTAGTAAATGAAGGATCCGTGATTATATTGCCAATAATATGTTAGTTTATAACATTTTAGAGCTCCACAAAAGTGTTCTTCAAGATGGCCGTCGTTGCTATGGCAACCATATTTTCAAAAGAGTCCCTGATGCTTGCAAATATTTTCATTTAAGGACTCTAACTTAGATATATACAAATAAATCAATAAAACGTTTTAATCACTAAGTTGTTATTTTTCTGGAGCCTACTTAAATTTAGGGGTAAATTGTGGCATCATGAGCAGGCTGACGTGAATTAACGTGAGCTAAAGAGTTTAGCGTTGTCAGTGTGCATCTTCCGTGAGCTAAAGCCCGTTTTAGTTATTTACATGTTTGTTTTGTTTTGCTTTTATACACCATTTCTTATTTATAAAGACTATTTTTGTATTAAAATAATCAACAAAAACAACTGGGGTGTCATTTTGGTTACTCAAACGGTTTAATGGCATTTAATTTAATTTCAATGAAGAATATTACAATTAGACATACGAGTAATGTTACGATAAGAATTTTGAGATACTACTGTAATTCCAAAACATTGTACAATAGGACAATTAGCAATTATTTATATTATAGCTAAGCTCTGATAGATTAACAATGACAAGAATGCTTAAGACGACAAATACAAATGCGTTGATTTAATTACATAATTAACGAGTTTGGTGTTTTGTTAACATAGGACACTCTACACCACGTCACTCTTGAGTCAGGTGTTCGATTAGATGCAGACAGCATTGGAGAACTATTTAAAAGGTGAGTTATCGGCTCTAGTTGAGTTTGTACTATTTAGAAGGTGAGTTATCGGTCCTAGTAGAGTTTTGTAATATGTAGAAGGTGAGTTATCGGTCCTAATTGAGTTTGTTGATAATTTTATCTGAGTACGTCTCATAAGCTTTTTATCAATTACGAGCCGGCCCGCGGCATAACATACGCCGCTATTTAGTTGTTTCTAATTTTCAATAATTCATAATTTGTGAATTCGACAGTACCAACGCTGACACTGAAAATATTTCTTTAAAACACTATAAGTAGCTCGTTAAGGACCATAACCCCCCCCCCTTCCTCCCCCCCCTCCCCCCCCCCCCCTACGTTTAAAATAGTTGGCTCTGCTTGTAAACATTTAGAGTGAACACAGCTCACTAAAACCATGTAGGGGTGGGGAGGTAGGGAGAGCGTTTGCAGCTTGTTTTCTAACGGCTCGAAGAAGAGAATTATATATATAGATTGTGGTTCTGCACATTTGGTAGTGGGATAATACTAAAGCACGTAATAAACAGGGGGGGGGGAGATAATTGATACTTTGTGTGAGGTTGAGAAAGATGGGGGGGGGGGGGAGATAATTGATAATTTGTGTGAGGTTGAGAAAGATGGGGGGGGGGGGAGATAATTGATAATTTGTGTGAGGTTGAGAAAGATGGGGGGGGGGAGATAATTGATAATTTGTGTGAGGTTGAGAAAGATGGGGGGGGGGGGAGATAATTGATAATTTGTGTGAGGTTGAGAAAGATGGGGGGGGGGGGAGATAATTGATAATTTGTGTGAGGTTGAGAAAGATGGGGGGGGGGGGAGATAATTGATAATTTGTGTGAGGTTGAGAAAGATGGGGGGCGGGGGAGATGATTGATAAACTGTGTGAGGTTGAGAAAGATGGGGGGGGGGAGATGATTGATAAACTGTGTGAGGTTGAGAAAGATGGGGGGGGGGGGGGGAGATAATTGATAAACTGTGTGAGGTTGAGAAAGATAATTGTAGGGATATTTTATTCCCCAGTCTACACAAATGTAAACACCTCGAGACGTTGTCGCTACAGTTGACCTGCGAGAAGTCAAGCGACAGAGACGTGTTCTGTCTTGCCATCCGAGACGCTATAGCCCAGAGCCCAGTGACCTGCCCAGTTACATTCAACGGTCAGCAAGTCTAGGCAGGCTGGAACACGTCTTCACTTGTAGAAATAAACGTGCTGCATGTTGGAATATGTTGGACCCATCAATGTTAGGACGTGTTGTATGTTGGAGTATGTTGGACCTATCAATGTTAGAACGTGCTGTATGCTGGACTATGTTGGACCTATCAATGTTAGAACGTGCTGTATGTTGGACCTATCAATGTTAGAACGTGCTGTATGCTGGACTATGTTGGACCTATCAATGTTAGAACGTGCTGTATGCTGGACTATGTTGGACCTATCAATGTTAGAACGTGCTGTATGTTGGACCTATCAATGTTAGAACGTGCTGTATGTTGGACCTATCAATGTCAGAACGTGCTGTATGTTGGACCTATCAATGTTAGAACGTGCTGTATGCTGGAGTATGTAGGACCTATCAATGTTAGAAACGTGCTGTATGCAGGAATATGCTGGATCTATCAATGTTAGGACGTGCTGTATGTTAGAATATGTTGGACCTATTAATGTTAGGACGTGCTGTATGTTGGACCTATCAATGTTAGAACGTGCTGTATGCTGGAGTATGTAGGACCTATCAATGTTAGAAACGTGCTGTATGCAGGAATATGCTGGATCTATCAATGTTAGGACGTGCTGTATGTTAGACTATGTTGGGCCTATCAATGTTAGGACGTGCTGTATGTTAGACTATGTTGGGCCTATCAATGTTAGAACGTGCTGTATGTTGGACTACGTGTTGGACCCATCAAAGGTCTTTGCTGCACGTTGTATGATTAAGACTTGTGTTTCCGCTGTTTGTAAATTAGAACGCTAGAACAATTTTTTTTTCATTTTTTTTTCGAAATAAAATCAAAGTTTTATTTTCAGTATTTTGAGTATTTATTTATTCTTGAACACATTTTCTTTTGTTTTCGTTATTTATATTTTGAAATTATTGACCAAATCATAAGGGGCGTCTAGACGTTGGTATTGTTTAAGACCTTCTAAATGTTTCGCTACGCCAGTGTTTGTAAGCGTTTAAAAAGAATCTAATATCTTTATGTCGTATAGTGTGACAATAGGGCCATGTATGGTGTGACAAAGGGCCATGGTGTATGATGTGACAACGGGCCATGTTGTATGATGTGAAAATGAGGGCCATGTTGTTAGTGTGACAATGGGGACATTGTGGATGGTGTGACAAATGGCCATGATATATAGTAAGACGCAGAGTCATGTGTATAAAAAATTTGTAAGTACAGTGTTAGCGTGTCTAGGGGGTGTGACATTGAACCATCACATCACACATCCTAACATATGACTTTGGCCATCACATCACACATCCTAACATATAACTTTGGGCCATCACATCACACATCCTAACATATGACTTTGGCCATCACATCACACATCCTAACATATGACTTTGGGCCATCACATCACACATCTTAACATATGACTTTGGCCATCACATCACACATCCTAACATATAACTTTGGCCATCACACATCCTAACATATGACTTTGGCCATCACATCACACACCTAACATATGACTTTGGCCATCACATCACACATTCTAACATATGACTTTGGCCATCACATCACACATCCTAACATATGACTTTGGCCATCACATCACACATCCTAACATATGACTTTGGCCATCACATCACACATCCTAACATATGACTTTGGCCATCACATCACACATCCTAACATATGACTTTGGCTATCACATCACACATCCTAACATATGACTTTGGCCATCACATCACACATCCTAACATATAACTTTGGCCATCACATCACACATCCTAACATATGACTTTGGCCATCACATCACACATCCTAACATATAACTTTGGCCATCACATCACACATCCTAACATATGACTTTGGCCATCACATCACACATCCTAACATATGACTTTGGCCATCACATCACACATCCTAACATATAACTTTGGCCATCACATCACACATCCTAACATATGACTTTGAACCATCATATCATACTGACTAAATATCTGACTATTAACGTCATTGTTTTTATCTTTGTTTGTATGTGACTGAGACAAAAACTTAAGACTGTTTGGCTTGGTTTTCAAGAAAATAAATGAATAATAACAAATTCATCAAATTGAAACCAAAAGAATCGACAACACATTTTTTTATTCACATATTCTAAATGGCAAATTATTTTAACTGAAATCCTAGCCTACATACTATTAAAAAATGTTATTTCGACACGCTTATGAACTGTTCTCACACATCTGTAAACTATAAAGGAGTAGATTCTGCATGGGATACTTTACTTGCTACTTCAAACAAAACATAGCCTCCCTTGAATCGAGTTGTGGTAGACGTCACTGAAACGTGCGCAGCAGATCACAATAGAACAACATGGCGCCATTGTTTGTTTAGAATGTAGGCTGTGGTATAATACAACATAATCTGCCCTATGAGGCAACATCTAGCTAGTGGTGGGGTAAGAAATCATGGCGACCCACGCGCGTGTAAAACGTGCAGCCCTGGGAGACAGAGTGGTCAAAGTTGGCTCAACTAGAAACAAAAAACGGGGGGTATGTCCACTCTTATCTCTCTCTATGTGACTCTATGGACAATAACACATTTGTTAAAATGCCTGCTACCATTATGGTTTACATTAATAAAAATCGTGTTTTTCTCAATTTTGCCATCATAGTGTCCGAATTTTTGTTAATTATAAAAAAGCCGGGGAAAAAATGGGAAATTAAATATTTAAAACAATAATATGGAAGTTGCAAATACAGAGAGCGTTAAAAATAGTTCGTTTTGAGAATACGTTTTAGTAAACAAACTTTCATGTTAAATTAGACCACATTTTAATTATTTTCGTGTTAAATATACACTTCCTGGTCATATTGTTTTTAAAGTATCGCTTTAGCTATTTTAAATATTAATGTTAAAACAATATAAATTCACTATGAGTGTACGGTAAATACTTGAATCTATACTAACCTATTTTTGCAGGATGCATTTGCTTATAATTCCATCGACCCCAAAGACAACGCAATACAAAATGTTCTTGCCTTTAAAAAATGTTTAATTACTAAAATAACTAAAAAGACATACGTCAAATCTATAGTAAAGTCACATAAAAAACCAATCTATTTTTTACAATCATTATTTACACATTGATCTACACATTATTTACACATTGATCTACACATTCTTTACACATTGATCTACACATTATTTACACATTGATCTACACATTATTTACACATTGATCTACACATTATGTATACATTGATCTACACATTATGTACACATTGATCTACACATTATTTACACATTGATCTACACATTATTTACACATTCTTTACTTTTCACGTTTGGCTCTATTAGTAGTTTATACTTAAACAAAACCATGTTGATAAACTCAACAAAACCATGTTGATAAACTCAACAAAGCCATGATGATAAACTGAACTGAACTAAACTAAACCATGTAGATAAACTCCACTAAACCATGTTGATAAACTCAACAAAAGCATGTTGATAAACTAAACCTTGCAGATAAACTAAACACAACTATGTTGATAATTATAACTAAACCATGTTGATAAACTAAACTAAACTAAACCATGTTGATAAACTCAACTAAACCATGTAGATAAACTAAACCTTGCAGATAAACTAAACAAAACTATGTTGATAATTATAACTAAATCATGTTGATAAACTAAACAAAACCATGTTGATTAACTCAACAAACATGTTGTTGAACTAACTCCCTCAGATAACTTGTGATTGGAGCAAGGTGCCGTATCACATAATGGTGCACGTATTCCAATACCTGCGTGACGGCGATAGGTTCCGAGCTGCTCAGACCTGCAAGGCCTGGCTCCAACCCTTCTCTCACCCCGCCTTGTTCCGTACGGGACAATTCCAGTACGGCTCAATGCACAGGGCGATAACTTTTGCCAGAGTCAAGGGGAAGTTACTAAGGCACATTTATTTTAAAGGTATCTAGAGTAAAACTTAAAAGATAAATAAACGTGGGGATGGTGTTTTTACCTTTTTTTAACCTCCCTATGAAATATTTCCACTGATTAAGTAGTGTTTTTTTTACCTCCCCATGAAATATTTCCACTGATTAAGTAGTGTTTTTTTTACCTCCCCATGAAATATTTCCACTGATTAAGTAGTGTTTTTTAACCTCCCCGTGAAATATTTCCACTGTTTAAGTAGTGCTTTTTTAACGTCCCCATGAAATATTTCCACTGATTAAGTAGTGTTTTTTAACGTCCCCATGAAATATTTCCACTGATTAAGTAGTGTTTTTTTAACGTCCCCATGAAATATTTCCACTGATTTCTTTTTTCCTTTACCCCAGCTTCCCGGCCTAATTTCGATTTCCCTCCCACAATAAGGGGAATGTACCAGTTCCTGTCCAACTTGATAAATTCAGGCAACAATCAGCTGATCACGCTAAACCTGGCCAGCATGAGACGGCTGAGTTTTCGTGGCATCTACACTCTGCCCATGTTGGTCGAACTTCTGGCCATCCTGCTGGCCAATCAGACACATCTCCGAGAGCTGGACCTCAGTCACGCTTCACTAATTGTAAAACAAGGTGGGTACATCTAATCTCACTAGCATGAGACCTCAGTCACGCTTCACTAATTGTAAAACAAGGTCGGTACGTCTAATCTCACTAGCATGAGACATCAGTCACGCTTTACTAATTGTAAAACTAGGTCGGTACGTCTAATCTCACTAGCATGAGACCTCAGTCACGCTTCACTAATTGTAAAACAAGGTCGGTACGTCTAATCTCACTAGCATGAGGGTTTAAAAGGCGGAGACAAAATCATTCAACTGCTGAAGAACTTGTCTATCTATGCTTGAGAGAAGACAGAGTTTAATATGTGCAGTGGCGTAGCGAGGTCGGGTGTCACCCGGTGCGGCACTTAAAGGTGTCACCCTCCAGAGGCGTAGCGACCCTTCCCGGGGACAAACTTTCAAGTTTTCGATTTGCACCCCCCCCTCAAACTTTCGATTTGCACCCCCTCCCCCTTAAACTTTCGATTTGCACCCCCCCCCTCAAGTTTTTCTCTATATATATTGCTATTTTTTGCCTTGGTGTCACCCCCCTAAATGGTGTCACCCGGTGCGGTCCGCACCACCCCCCTCGCTACGCCCCTGAATATGTGGGGCCTGGATGTAATATGTGCTGCCCAGCTTGGATGTGTTTTTAAACGTTTTAAAACGTTTGTGATCCCAAAGAAATCTATTGACGTTCTTGAAATGATATGAGTCATACTATTGCTGAAGGTAAAAGAAAAAAAAGAAAAAAAAAGTTTGTCGCTAATATACAGCCAACATCTCATACAAAATTCCAATAAATAAAGGCAACGCTGTTAAAACATTTGCTCTGTCAGTCAGCAACTGAAGACATCAAATTTTTAAACTTTCAGGCAGCCAAATTCTGGAGGCAGTGGCCAAGAACTGCTCCCAGACACTCCAAAGGCTCGACATCACCAGCTTCATCGACTACGGTGAGCCAGAGGATGATGAAGAAGAAACTATCTGGACAAATTTTGTCTCTGCTCTCTGTAGCTTCAAAAATTTATCTGGTAACTTTACTCGTCATGTTTATAAGATGGTTCAATGGCTGTGTCTTTAAGGGCTATGTGGTCAGTACGTGGTTATGTGGTCAGTACGTAGTTGTGTCTATAAGGGCTATGTGGTCAGTACGTGGTTGTGTCTATAAGGGCTATGTGGTCAGTATGTGGTTGTATCTGTAAGGGCTATGTGGTCAGTACGTGGTTGTGTCTATAAGTGCTATGTGGTCAGTATGTGGTTGTATCTGTAAGGGCTATGTGGTCAGTATGTGGTTGTGTCTGTAAGGGCTATGTGGTCAGTATGTGGTTGTGTCTGTAAGGGCTATGTGGTCAGTATGTGGTTGTGTCTGTAAGGGCTATGTGGTCAGTATGTGGTTGTGTCTGTAAGGGCTATGTGGTCAGTATGTGGGTATGCCTATGGTAACTAAATGGTCAGTACGTGTCTATGCCCAAGGTAACTAAATGATCAGTACTAAGTCTTCCATTCTCTCTCAGACCTGGAGCTGAGCTACGAAGTCCTGTTGGATGACGTATTACGAGCCCTGGCCGGGTCGTCAAAAAGCCTGCAGAATTTAAAAGTGTATAACAACAATTACGACACGGCTGTGAGAGGAACCACACCGGAAGCCTGGCAGAGGCTCACGTCTGCTTGTCCTGGACTCAAAGTGGAAATGTTCGTCAGACCGAGATTCGTAAGCAGGTTTTAAAAATAGGACAAAGCAGACAGCCAACACATAAGTCGTTGATCGCACACATTACACTAGTCACACCAAATTCTGACCACATTATCCATTTAGTCTACTCGTTACACATGTACATGCATGCATCGCACAGGATAATTTGATTACTTACTTGCCATGAGTTTAAGTTATCTAAAATTTATAAGTTCTAAGTTGTTATTTTTAAAATAATTATGTTGATAAAAAAGCCAACACCTAACTTTGCTATAAATATTTAAATGTTAATTAAATTTGTAAAACTGAGTTCAATGTACTGCATGTTGTCCATCCATCAAGTGCACATCTTTCTTTTACCCAGGAGTATCATGTCGACCCAGCCTTATGTGCAATTTTGACGCCTTCAACACCTTTACACAACCTCCATTGGCACTCGGGTGCAATGATCTCTCTTGACAACATGAAACTATGTTTTCAGCACATAGCCATACACTTTCAGGTGAGTTGATCTAGCACATCGCCACACACACCACCACACACTTTCAGGTGAGTTGATTTAGCACATCACCACACACATCAACACACACTTTCATGTGAGTTGATCTAGCAAATCGCCACACACTTGGAATAAAATCTAATAATTTTCAATTCGATTAATCATTACAGCCAAAAAGATTCTTCCTATGACACAACACTGAAACAATGGCATTTCACCTGCTACAACACTGACACAATGGCATTACACATGACACAACACTGACACAATGTCATTACACCGGACAAAAACACTGACACAATGGCATTACACCTGACACAACACTGACACAATGGCATTACACCTGACACAACACTGACACATGGACATTACACCTGACACAACACTGACACATGGACATTACACCTGACACAACACTGACTCTGTAACATTACATCTGACACAACACTGACATTAGACCTGACACAACACTGGTATTACACCCGACACAACACTGACACATGGACATTACACCCGACACAACACTGACACATGGACATTACACCCGACACAACACTGACACATGGACATTACACCCGACACAACACTGACACAATGATAAAACTAGTATGATTGGAGGGGGGGGGCGACTAACCACGAAGCAGGGACATGTCTGCAACTGTCGCTTGTTTCTTTCTTGTAGAGCACCTTACACCATATCTGCTTCAAATCTGGTGTACGTCTGGCTAGAGGTGACGTAGGGGAACTTTTTGAGAGGTGAGCTCATGTTTAAGTTAGCGTTAGCGCTACTAGTTAGGGTTAGCGCTACTAGTTAGGTTAGCGCTACTAGTTACAGTTTATGTTTTAACTTTGTAAGAAGAAATATTTTACTGATCTATTTTCATTCCCCCCCACCCCCCCCCCCCACCCCCACATCCCACCCCCACAGCTTACATGAATGCAGCCATTTAGAGACGGTGTCTATCAATTTAAAGTGTGATTTTAGTATCGATGAAGAGTTCTACAGGAGCTGTATTAAAGAAGCTGTAGACAAGCATCACATCACATGTAGTAAAATTACCCTCAATGGTAGGACCGTGAGCAGCTAGAACCTCACGTCCTGCATGTGGTGTGTGGAATCACACGTAAAGTGGTGGACGATTGGTGGAGTATTCAAATGGTGATACGTGTGTAAAGTGGAACACGGTAGATCAGTACTTGTTGAAAGTTTGGCTGTGTGATGCTGTTGAAAATTTGGCTGTGTGATGGTGTGTTGATGGGGACCAGTTGGCCTTGGATCAGCTAAGTTCGAGAAGAAAAACAAATGTTAAATAAAACAATTCAACATCAAAAGTATTCAATAAAAGTTAATGTTACAATTTTTATTCTTAAATCTTTATTTTCAACAGTACTCGTTTCAACCCATATGTCAATGTCACAACATAAACTTAACATTTCAACACGTTGGACGATTCATAAAGCTTACATGTACTAAGCATGAGGCTATTTCTGATGATGTTTCTTTGACTTTCCTTTCAAATATAACATATTTAATTATTATTACAAATTATATGGGTGGTGGAGAGGGGATAAAGTTCAAAATAGTTAGAATCAGGGTCATGCTTTAAGGCAATGTATAAACATAGGACACGTACGTATCACAACATATAACACAGGACACGTATGTATCACAACATATAACACAGTTCGTGGTTGTATATTCACCTGTTTGCTGATCTTTTCATCTATAAATAACTCCAAAACAAAATTTGCCAGTTCGTGCCCTAAAAATAATCTGTCGCTATGTTTGGGAAAGCTACAGCCAGTGTTTACCAAATATAGAAGATACACGTGACAAACGTAAAAAATGTTCACCTATGACGTCATACCACGTCTGAAGCGTGCCACAGTGGGGGGGGACAATAAAGGTGAAACGTGGTCCAAGCAGATAGAAAGAAACCACCTTCATTACGTCATTACTGGCATTTAGATCAAGTAGATTAGACTTGCACAACGGACGTCAACAAAAAATGTCTGGTTATATTAAACGTGATAGTTTGGTTTTTGCCGAATTTTATAAAAGATTTGGCGAATTGGACTTTTTTATGAGTATATTCGGTAACTAATCAAATGTTTAGCAACAGGAAAAAAACAATTTCATTTTCTTGATCCTCACGTGGTAATGAAGATATAAACAAAGACTTCCTGCTCGTTCACTAAGTCAACTTTAATTCTAAGTAAGTACAGCACATGCGTAATAAAAATGTGTTCCACACAGACATAATTCAAATATTGCTGATTTTATCTTACACATGTTTTTGTTTATTGAAACATTTTCTTGATGTAAATTTAACCTACGGTTAAAAGATTCATATCAGATGCCATGGTAATCAGAGCTTGTCCTACGATTTAAGTTTTCAATATTTCGGTTCGTTAAACTACACCCATAACAGAAAAACGACACAGGCGCGCGACATCAGGGTAAATTTATGTTCATAACTCGGATCAGAAAAACAAATTTATTTCCGTAGATAACGTCATCAAAAGTTGTGCACAACATCAATTTAGCCTAAACATTGTTCATCTAAAATGGCGGTCGTACAGAATATTTTGTTCCATCAAGTCCTCACCATCATTAGGAAATGTAGCTGTGTACAGATTTAAGCACGAAGTCAATATAGAATAGACATAGGTAGAACGTATTAGGATGGATGATATATCTTCAAACAACTCGTACACAAACAAACGTTCTAAACATGGGACCAACACACATCCTAACTTTAACATCGGCAGTAAAGAAATACCTATCCATCAGCGTCAGGTATGTCTTCATGGCACTCTCATAGTTTAGTATATTATACCGTACACCATTTAGGAATATAACTCACCCCTAAGGTTGCAGGCTTACTCCCTTGATGCACTCAATCATCACGCGATGTTTAGATAATTAGTATCCTAGACACAGCGTCGAAAATTATCCGGAAGTCTTTGCGCAGATTTGTAAACATTATTTACTGTAAACTATAGTTTATTTGACCGTTGAAATATAAATAGAATCGAATGAAATGATAACTAGTTTTAAGTCAATCCAGCGTGTCGTACAGCCTATAAGGACAAACCACAAAAGGATAAGCTAAAACAAGGCTCAATGAAACAAAGGCTAGTTAACAAGCAGAATAAAAACAGTTGGATACAAAATGCACATCTTAAGGATCAGAATATATTTCTAACAAATACGAAAACAAACAAACCGGAGAATACGACGGGTAACTTTACACAGAACTAAAGTACACTAACCTGGTAGAACGTAAACTATAACATGAGGCACCGAATCACGCTTACATTCAAATCAGCTTACACACGCATCAAGCTTACACTAGAACCACGCTTACACTAGAATCACGCTTACACTAGAATCACGCTTACACTAGAATATTGCTTACACTAGAACCACGCTTACACTAGAATCACGCTTACATGAGAATCACGCTTACACTAGAATCACGCTTACACTAGAATCACGCGTACACGAGAATCTTGCTTACACTAGAATCACGCGTACACGAGAATCACGCGTACACGAGAATCACGCGTACACTCGTCCTTATATGAGTGTACACAAACTTGTACAAACTCTAGAATGACAACATGAAGACTGGCAGCTCACAACACGAGAAGGGAATATCATCGAACGGGACAGGTTAATACATACAAACAACATTCCCTTATTCATCTAATTATCGCATCAACTACAATTCATTATGCGAGGTAAACACATCCACCCACCTATTTACCTATCCATCAATTAATTTCTAGCCGTAAAAACAACACAATATTATTCATTCTAATTATTAAATATCAAATGTAATACGTTAGTATTACTAATTTTAAATTTAGTCAACGCTCAAAGTTGTGTCGAGATCTATATTTGGTCGAATGGGTGTAATTAATGACCAGGTGGGTGTAATTAACGTCCAGGTGGGTTTATGACGAGGAATTTTAATTTCCTGGACACCCAAATAATGCAACACAACCACAGCAGGTAGATAACTGGAGTTGTCTGCCTTACCATTTTGTTTTCACTTGACCACAGGGTACTGGAGTAGCCTGCCCTACCATTTTGTTTTTAGTTGACCTCAGGGTACTGGAGTAGTCTGCCCACAGGGTATTGGAGTTGTCTGCCTTACCATTTAGTTTTTAGTTGACCACAGGGTACTGGAGTAGTCTGCCTTAACATTTTGTTTTTAGTTGACCACAGGGTACTGGAGTTATCTGCCATACCATTTTGTTTTTAGTTGACCACAGGGTACTGGAGTTATCTGCCATACCATTTTGTTTTTAGTTGACCACAGGGTACTGGAGTTATCTGCCATACCATTTTGTTTTTAGTTGACCTCAGGGTACTGGAGTAGTCTGCCCACAGGGTATTGGAGTTGTCTGCCTTACCATTTAGTTTTTAGTTGACCACAGGGTACTGGAGTAGTCTGCCTTAAGATTTTGTTTTTAGTTGACCACAGGGTACTGGAGTTATCTGCCATACCATTTTGTTTTTAGTTGACCACAGGGTACTGGATTAGTCTGCCTTAACATTTTGTTTTTAGTTGACCACAGGGTACTGGAGTTATCTGCCATACCATTTTGTTTTTAGTTGACCACAGGGTACTGGAGTTATCTGCCATACCATTTAGTTTTTAGTTGACCACAGGGTACTGGAGTAGTCTGCCTTAACATTTTGTTTTTAGTTGACCACAGGGTACTGGAGTTATCTGCCATACCATTTTGTTTTTAGTTGACCACAGGGTACTGGAGTTATCTGCCATACCATTTAGTTTTTAGTTGACCACAGGGTACTGGAGTTATCTGCCATACCATTTAGTTTTTAGTTGACCACAGGGTACTGGAGTTGTCTGCCTTAACATTTTGTTTTTAGTTGACCACAGGGTACTGGGGTAGTCTGCCTTACCATTTAGTTTTTAGTTGACCACAGGGTACTGGATTAGTCTGCCTTAACATTTTGTTTTTAGTTGACCACAGGGTACTGGAGTTGTCTGCCTTACCATTTTGTTTTTAGTTGACCACAGGGTACTGGATTAGTCTGCCTTAACATTTTGTTTTTAGTTGACCACAGGGTACTGGAGTTGTCTGCCTTACCATTTAGTTTTTAGTTGACCACAGGGTACTGGAGTTGTCTGCCTTACCACGTGTTGGTCCATGTGTTCAGTTACCTAGCCAACAACGGCGACAAGTACCACGCCGCTCTGACATGCAAGGCCTGGCTCCGTCCCATGTCCGAGCCGTCGTTATTCCACACTGGGCACTTCCGGTTCAACGCCAAGGACTATAGAAGGGCGATCACTTTTGCCAGAGTCAAGGGGAAGTCACTACGTCACATCAAAGCCGATTGTACAGGTAGAGATAGCTATGTTAAACTCACTAAAGTCTTGAAGTGTGTATTCCTGTCTCAGGCCATCACTAAGAACCAATACAGCTGTAATGTATGTCATTGTCTGCTTTCCCTGCAGAGCCCCGCTATGGGTTGGTACAATGTAAGAGCTTGGCTGTGTACAAGTTCCTGGCCAACCTGCTCAACTCTGGCAACCATCGACTGCTCACGCTGAAGCTGACCAACCTGAAATGGTTGAGAGAATCCACCGTCCATCCCAGGTCTGACGTCATCAAACTGCTCGCCACGCTCCTAGAACACCAGCAACAGCTGCGTGTCGTGGATCTAAGTAATGCCCGTCTTAGGGTCAAACAAGGTTAGTAACGCGGAAGTAAGAGTGCACAAAGGTCAGTCTCACATGGGTCTTACACTGGACCCTGGTCAGTCTCACCTGGGTCTTACACTGGACCCTGGTCAGTCTCACCCAGTGGCGTAGCGAGGTCGGGCGTTACCCGGTGCGGTCCGCACCCCCCCCCCCCCTCGCTTCGCCTCTGGTCTCACCTACGTATAATAGTTGACCGCCAAGGTCGGTATCACCCAGGTCAAAAACGTAATCACAAAACTATTTGTAGTTTTAACCCTATTGTGGTCATAGGGACACCACAATCCTCTACCTGCATGATTAGTCCTGAGACGGGCAACCCTATCCAATCCTTGATGTCATCCATCCAATGTTGTATCACTTCATTGAAATATATCACTTAGTAGTACCAATCTTGAACATTTCTACAATCAGTTCAAGTCTAAACTCCAAGATTTAAACGACCTCAGCGAAATTCTCCAAAGCGCACAAAATGTCTTTTAGCCAACCTAATTTCCCCCTAACCCTGCCATAAACACTGTATAAACTCTGTCTCTTGTTCAGGCCGTCTCATACTGAAGGCACTGAGCAAACACTGCTCTGAGACCGTCCACACCCTGAACATCGATGCTCTCATCTCCTTCAAGGTCCCACAGGACCCACAAGATGGCAGATACTTTGCCAGATTTATCTCGGCCATGTGCAGTTTCAGGAACCTGTCAGGTTGGTCGACGCTTTATACATTGTGTCTGTCATCTGATCAGTCAATGTTGTAATTCATGGGTTGTGTCATCTGATCAGTCAATGTTGTAATTCATGGGTTGTGTCTGTCATCTGATCAGTCAATGTTGTAATTCATGTGTTGTGTCTGTCATCTGATCAGTCAAGGTTGTAATTCATGGGTTGTGTCATCTGATCAGTCAAGGTTGTAATTCATGTGTTGTGTCTGTCTTTAATCAAGGTTGTAATTTATGTGTTGTGTCTGTCTTTAATCAAGGTTGTAATTCATGTGTTGTCATAGATGTTGAAAAACGAAGCAGCTTCTAGTACCTGTGTGTACGGAAGGTCGTGACCCTGCCACACCACCCTTGAGTGTTATACACCTGAAGCAACCCCCCCCCCCCCCACCCCAGCCCCAATGAGCTACTGGTGCCTCGGGTAATACATAACAGAAGCTCCCCAATCCTCCCCTCCCTTCCCTTTGGGTTAATAGTGCCTTGTATATTACAGACCTGAACCCCCTCCCTTCCCCTTGGGTTAATGGTACCTCGTGTATTACAGACCTGAGGCTGCCCCTTGGCTATCTACAAGACAACGTTCTGCAGTCTCTGGCCGCTGCTGCCAAGAACAGTCTGGAATTCCTGACCATCCGATGCCACTACAAACCCCGTGCGGTCAGCCGTATCAACCCGTCAGCATGGCTTACCTTGACGTCCGCGTGTCCGAACCTCAAAGTTCGATTCTCCCTGAGGCCTAAAGAGGTGTGTGCTCGTTACAGGTTTCTTGTCACAATACCATTATTTTTTTGTGTGATTGTTACACAATACTTTTATTTAGCCACAATATCGTTATTTTTTTTTTTGTGAGAACGATTTTTTAAAAATTGTTTGAGATAAAAACACTTTAATGCGATATTATCTATTTACATATAAGTACACAAAAATCAGTCGATGAATATATTTGTTAATATTTTCGTCTTTTTAGCTGAGTTCTAAACTGCAACCTAAAACTAGAATAGATATCACATAATAGACATCATAGAATAGATATCATGGAATCGATATCATTGAATAGATATCGTAGAATAGATATCATAGATTCCGACGGACTAATTATAACATAGAAGCACACGTGTAAACAAATAGGAACTTTAAAAACATGTTCATTTGTTTATGTCCATGACCTTTGTGTTACTCTTTGTCAGGATTCTTATTTCGTGTCTTCAACCTCTTGTGTTTTGTTTGTCAGGATTCTTATTTCGATCTGGTACCGTGCAACCTCCTGATTCCGGCCATTCCACTGGACACGTTTAACTGGACGTGTGGAAGTTTAATCTCGCTGGACAACTTACAGCAGTGCTTTGAACACCTGGCGCACAACTTTCAGGTGAGTTCATCCACGTGACATCACCTGTCTGTCTATATAAACTCACCTGTCTGTCTATATTTCTGTAGAACACACCTGTCTATCTCTATATTTCTGTAGAATTCACCTGTTTATATTTCTGTAGAACACACCTGTCTATCTCTATATTTCTGTCGAACACACCTGTCTATATTTCTGTAGAACACACCTGTGTGTCTCTATATTTCTGTAGAACACACCTGTGTGTCTCTATATTTCTGTAGAACACACCTGTCTGTCTATATTTCTATAGAACTCACCTGTCTATATTTCTGTAGAACTCACCTGTCTATATTTCTGTAGAACTCACCTATCTGTCTATATTTCTGTATAACTCACCTGTATGTCTATATTTCTGTAGAACACACTACGTCACATCAGCCTGAAAGCAGGAGTTCGTCTGGATGCCGAAAGGATCAGAGACCTAATGGAGAGGTGCGTCTCTTTTAGTGCCAGAGTTTCTTTCAGGCATCTCTTCGGGGCGGTCTGGAAGAAGCACTGGTTAGTGCCAAGTATTTAGGCGTGGACTTCTCCTAACAATGTCTGAATCGAGTATTCTGTCCCATATCAAGATGGAGATTTAGCTTTCTCCGTTATTTGTAGTGGGATGTACGTTGGTTGTTAGTTTTCTTACATGTTCTCTTATAAATAAATAAATGGCTGCCGAAATGAAGCCAGAGTTAAAAATAACTTAAGGGACTCCACTCATGTTAGATTTTGGAGTTATCTCTCCTAGATAGGTTGCTGTCCCCCGCTAACAAGCCTTATCTACACGGGGGTTCGAACACGGGACTTTTCAGTCCAATCATGCCGACCCCAGTTTTCTAATATTTTTTTAATGTAATATAAATCCTAATATAATACTTACATGTTTAGCATATGTATTAATCGTGTGACCTTTAACGTTTGCCATGGAATGTAATGAAATGTAATCTATGTAGTGACGATGAGGTATTGATGTCTGAGGTACGCAGTTATGATATAACACTTCATGTCTGCTACATTTCCCCACAGTATACACGAGTGCAGCCAGTTGGAGACGCTGTCTATCCGTTTAAAATGTGATCTGAGCGGGGATGACGAGTTCTACAAGACTGCCATCCAAGATGCTGTCGATGAGCACCGTATGACGTGTGCTGTTAAATTCAACGGTCACGACGTCGGGAGTCTGAACGATATGTCGTTTATGGAATAGTTTGTGGATTATGTGGCACGTGATGGGTAATTGATAGTCACGTGACAGTGGATAGTTGGTGGATTATGTGTACATATAGTGGATAGTTGGTGGATTATGTGTACATATAGTGGATAGTTGGTGGATTATGTGTACATATAGTGGATAGTTGGTGGATTATGTGTACAGATAGTGGATAGTTGGTGGATTATGTGTACAGATAGTGGATAGTTTGTGGATTATGTGTACAGATAGTGTATTGTTGTGAAAAAGTGTACACCAACATCTGCTAGTTTGAGACGAACGTGGAAGTTTCAGACATTGCATGGTAGACATGAACCGGAAGTAGCTAGTTCTGGCTATAGTAACATCATAATTAAAACAATGTTTAAAAAGTTTAAATTAGTTCGGTTTTTTCTCTATTAAAGTGATGTGAAACCTATTGTGTTGTATCGCTAAAAACTGTTTAAATTTGGAGTAAAATACGAAGTTAGGCTTATACTTTGGCTTAAGTTAATGTCAAGAAAAGACGAGGCGATCATAATAGTGTGCACTGTATATTATTGTCTTAGAGTCCTAATTACTTGCAAAGGCATATATTTCAAGACCTGAGGCTAGTGATAATTGAATAATTAAATAAATACATCAAGTTGTTTAATATTAGAGACGAAATTTGATTTATTTATCTATAAACGTTAATAATTGCTATTGTTTTATCTTCAACCGGATTAAAAGAGGTTTGAGGTGGACCAAGTGTTAACGGACGTTATCACATCTCTCATTAAATCAATACAATGGTAAATTAGATTACCACCAATGCTATATTAGATTACCACCAATGGTATATTAGATCACCACCAGTGGTATATTAGAGTACCACCAATGGTACATTAGATTACCACCAATGGTATATTAAATCACCCCAATGGTACATTATATTACCACCAATGGTATATTAGATCACCCCCAATGGTACATTAGATTACCACCAATGTTATATTAGATCACCCCCAATGGTACTTTTGATTACAACCAATGGTAATAAAAATATATAATTTAGTAACAAAACCCATAGTTCTTCAAGAAAACACGTAGATAAAAAAATACATATCCGTACAGCTGTTGTACAAATATTACTATCAACTTTTCAACCGACAACCAGAACGGGTATCCCCTCTATTTCCTGTTTCTCAAAAACATTTAGAGGTAAACAAATTTTGTATCATATTCTCATAAAGCATAATCTTAGTTTTTTTTTTCGTTATTCGAGTAGTTTTGTCACTAACTTTGATATTCCAACTTCTTTATTGCATTGTAAATGCCTTCCAATCATATAAGAATATACGAGATTATTTATTGAATCCTACTCCCGCTTTATTTTGAACAACATTTTTTCCGGTGTGATCTTTTGATTTTACCAGCAGATTCTATCGTCATCAAATAATGCATAATTCATCATCGTTCACTTCCGCCGATCCAATATGGCGGATGTTGAGTGTTTATTTCCATCAACGCATTAGAAAACATGACGCTAAAGGCTGTGATGTATGACTTACAGACAGATAACTGACTCACAGTGAGGTAGATCACACACCTTACAAAAATCTAGAATCCTGAGACCACATTACTACGTCGTACATGTGGGAGAAGGATTAGACCGAATACAAGCTTGTAAACATTTCTTTATTTGAGCGCACGAACAATCCAATTTTTGATGGGCGCTGAGTGGTCGAGATTTGGGACCTCAAATCCAAGTAAACGTTTCAAACGTGAGACAGACGACACAGTTGACGCAGCCAACAATCGTACCCAACAGAGTTTGGTAGGTTTTCATAATTGTAAAACGGCGTGGTCGAATGGTAGAGTATACTTCTGCTAAACCACAAACCTTGAGTTTGAATCCTCGAATGGTAGAGCACACTTCTGCTAAACCACAAACCTTGAGTTTGAATCCGGGTTCAAGTTTTTAAAAGTCATTGTGTCCACCTAGCTCTGATGGGTGCAGGACTCACGTTAAGGAAAGTAAAGGCGGCTGGGCATAGTCCTGACCATACTATCTGACCATACTATCCCTTCAATCATGTACCGAGGTCAAGGTAACAGGTCAACTCAACTTAACCTTCAGGTTTGAAAGGGGACACAGCTCTTTACTTATCTGACGGCCCATATCAATGTATGTATTATGTGTGTGCGTGGTATATTGTGTGTCGGGAAGGTATTTGATAACTCTGCAGATCTGTCCCAGGCTATCTGGGATCAGACATCTGGGATCAGACATCTAGGATCAGACATCTGGGATCAGACATCTGGGATCAGACATCTGGGATCAGACATCTAGGATCAGACATCTGGGATCAGACATCTGGGATCAGACATCTGGGATCAGACATCTGGGATCAGACATCTGGGATCAGACATCTGGGATCAGACATCTGGGATCAGACATCTGGGATCAGACATCTGGGATCAGACATCTGTTACAGCTAGAGCCGTTTCACTGAACTCACGTTTTGGATTAAGGTGATGTCGGCTACTCAGGAACGACGCTACTGTTTTAAAATCGCCTCTAAAACTTTTTTTTACGCTTTTCTTTCTTACTTCACTAGAATTTTTGGTCCATTTAACCTCTAACCTACAGTTTACAGGGATTGACTGGAGCCGTCTACCTTACCTGGTCTTGGTTCAAGTCTTCCAACACCTGGACAACCCAGACAGGTACCACGCTGCTCTCACGTGTAAATCCTGGCTGCTGACATTCTCTAGTCCAGCCTTGTGGCGCACGGGACACTTCAAGTTGAACACCAAGTACAGCCAAAGTCTGATCAGTTTTGTAGAAACGATGGGGAAATCTTTGCTTCACATTATAGCCGATGGTACAGGTTAGGAGGTTTTATTTTAAATCTAATCAAACAAGCTGGAAACGTCTATCAGACAAGGATAAGTATCGAACAGTAAAGATTAAAACATGCTAAAACCAAATACCAACTGTTTTGCAGAGCTTCAAGATGGAGACATCTCCTCAAGCAATCGATTTTTGTCCGACTTACTGGACGCTCTACTGACCGCCAACAACCGGAAACTGGAGACTCTCAGCCTGACCAACATGCGAATGTTGAGGTCACCCTTCGCCTACCCCAGGTGTGAGGAAAAACTGGCCTCTCTCTTAGAAAACCAGCGCAAACTTCAAGTGCTTGACCTCAGCAACGCCGGTCTAGTTCTCTGCGAAGGTCAGTTACGCTGGTCTAGTTCTTTACGAAGGTCAGTTACGCTGGTCTAGTTCTTTACGAAGGTCAGTTACGCTGGTCTAGTTCTTTACGAAGGTCAGTTACGCTGGTCTAGTTCTTTACGAAGGTCAGTTACGCTGGTCTAGTTCTTTACGAAGGTCGGTAACCTGGGTCTAAATATTGATGGTCTACAACATTGGTCTAGGTGTTAGCTAAGTTCAGTTCATATTAACGGTCTCTCACGTTAATTTAAATGTCGACGAAGTCCAAAGACTTTGTCCTAAATCTAGTCAACAGGTCGTATGGCGTAATACATGTTGACACATAATCATTTATTGTGTTTAAACATATCCACAATTTTATGAACAAAATAATAATTAACGCTAATCTAAATATTATTTGTCAGCAACACTGGTCTTTAACTAATTAGTAGATTTAACTCTCAATTTGACGGTGCCAGCCCTACCTAAGTCACCAAACTTTAAATGTTTATAAAAACCATGAACCAGGTCTAGACTTGCTAGTGGCGGCCACCCTGAACTGCCACACAACGCTCCACACCCTCCACATCAACGGGCTGGTCAACCAGAGCTGCTCACGAGCTTTGGCCAGGCACTCCAACTTTCTGTTGGTCGTGTCAAGTCTCAGCAAGTTATCTCGTAGGTTGTGTGTCCTTGATTTACAGTGTGTCTCGTAGGTTGTGTGTCTCGTTGGTTGTGTTCTTGGTTTACAGTGTGTCTCGTAGGTTGTGTGTCTCGTTGGTTGTGTGTCCTTGGTTTACAGTGTGTCTCGTAGGTTGTGTGTCTCGTTGGTTTACAGTGTGTCTCGTAGGTTGAGTGTCCTTGGTTTACAGTGTGTCTCGTAGGTTGTGTGTCTCGTATGTTGTGTTTCTCGTAGGTTGTGTGTCCTTGGTTTACAGTGTGTCTCGTAGGTTGTGTGTCTCGTTGGTTGTGTGTCTCGTAGGTTGTGTGTCCTTGGTTTACAGTGTGTCTCGTAGGTTGTGTGTCTCGTAGGTTGTGTGTCTCGTAGGTTGTGTGTCTCGTTGGTTTACAGTGTGTCTCGTTGGTTGTGTGTCCTTGGTTTACAGTGTGTCTCGTAGGTTGTGTGTCTCGTAGGTTGTGTGTCCTTGGTTTACAGTGTGTCTCGTAGGTTGTGTGTCTCGTATGTTGTGTGTCCTTGGTTTACAGTGTGTCTCGTTGGTTGTGTGTCTCGTTGGTTGTGTGTCTCGTTGGTTGTGTGTCTCGTTGGTTGTGTGTCTCGTTGGTTGTGTGTCTCGTTGGTTGTGTGTCTCGTTGGTTGTGTGTCCTTGGTTTACTATGTGTCTCATAGGTTGTGTGTCCTTGGTTTACAGTGTGTCTCCTTCTTGACAATGTGTCTCGTAGGTTTACAGACAGTATGTCTCGTTGCTTTAATGTGTGTATCGTTGGTGTACAATATGTAGGTTTATTTTAAAAGTGCATTTTTTAAATTATTGTTTTTACAATCTGTGAATGTACACGTTTTAAATAATTTTGAGTGAAAATTTGTTGTCATGAAGGAAGTTTTAACATATTTTATTAAACCACAGAATATCCAACCGCAAAATATCGAACCACAATCCACCGAAACACAAAACACCTAACCACAAAACACCGAACTACAAAACACCGAACCACAAAACATCGAACCACAAAACATCGAACCACAAAACATCGAACCACAAAATACCGAACAACAAAACACCAAACCACAACCTACAAAACCACACCGACTCCCACCACCATTAAGCATCACCAACAAAACCCTCGCCGTATCTTGCAGACCTGCAGCTTAGCCACGCCTACCTGTCGGACACCGTGCTGTACCTGCTTGCTGCGACAGCCTGCAACAGCCTGCGTGTGATGACCGTCCACGCCAACAACCTGTACGACTGCAGCATTCGGACAACCCCCTCGGCATGGCAGGCCCTGTCGTCCGCTTGTCCAGCACTCAAAGTTGAGGTGTTGATCCAGCCAATGACTGTGAGTTGATGAACTAACACGTCCAATAACTAATGACAACGGCCACTGCGTGTTGTTCCAAAAACTTCCACCGTATCCTCTATTTCTCTCAGAGAGTGTATTATGACCTCCACTGTATCCTCTATTTCTCTCAGAGAGTGTATTATGACCTCCACTGTATCCTCTATTTCTCTCAGTGTATTATGACCTTCAATGTATATTTCTCTCGGTGTATTATGACCTCCACTGTATCCTCTATTTCTCTCAGTGTATTATGACCTCCACTGTATCCTCTATTTCTCTCAGTGTATTATGACCTCCACTGTATCCTCTATTTCTCTCAGTGTATTATGACCTCCACTGTATCCTCTATTTCTCTCAGTGTATTATGACCTCCACTGTATCCTCTATTTCTCTCAGTGTATTATGACCTCCACTGTATCCTCTATTTCTCTCAGTGTATTATGACCTCCACTGTATCCTCTATTTCTCTCAGTGTATTATGACCTCCACTGTATCCTCTATTTCTCTCAGTGTATTATGACCTCCACTGTATCCTCTATTTCTCTCAGAGTATTATAACCTCCACCCTATCCTCTATTTCCCTCAATGTATTATGACCTCCATTGTATCCTCTATTTCTCTCAGTGTATTATGACCTCCATTGTATCCTCTATTCCTCTCAGAGTATTATAACCTTCACTGTATCCTCTATTTCTCTCAATGTATTATGACCTCCACTGTATCCTCTATTTCCCTCAGAGTGTGTATTGTTATTATGGCGTGTCAGTTGGTAACATTTTAACCCCTTCGATGCCGTTACATAAACTTCATTGGATTTTTGCGCGCACCGTGGATAAGGCTCGCTTGCAACATTGCTTTCAAAGAATCGCCGCCAACTTTCAGGTTTGTTGGTTCTTGGATGAATTGATGGTTTTTGGATGAATTAATGGTTTTTGGGTGAATTGGTGGTTCTTGGATGAATTGATGGTTTTTTGGATGGATTGATGGTTTTTTGGATGAATTGATGGTTTTTTGGATGGATTGATGGTTTTTTGGATGAATTGATGGTTTTTTGGATGAATTGATGGTTTTTTGGATGAATTGATGGTTTTTGGATGAATTGATGGTTTTTGGATGAATTATGGTTCTTGGGTTAATTGGTGGTTCTTGGACGATTTAATGGTTCTTGAATGAATTGATGGTTTTTTTTTTTATGAATTATGGTCCTTGGGTGAATTGGTGGTTCTTGGATGAATCGGTGGTTCTTAGATGAATTGGAGGTTTTTTGGGATGAATTAATGTTGTTTTTTTTTGGATGAATTGATAGTTTTATAGATGAATTGATGGTTCTTGAATAAATAGGTTCTTGGATGAATCGGAAATCTCAACATTCTATTTATCTTTTGCCTTCCCTAAACATTTTAATACGTTATGAGACACCACAGCATGAATGCTAGTTTGTCCGTCAGTGGGACCACTAATTTGACCGTCAGTGGGACCACTAATTTGACCGTCAATGGGACCACTAAATAGACCGTTAGTGGGACCACTAATTTGACCGTCAGTGGTACAACTAATTTGACCGTGAGTGGGACCACTAATTTGACCGTCAGTGGGACCAGTAATTTGACCGTCAGTGGGACCACTAATTTGACCGTCAGTGGGACCACTAATTTGACCGTGAGTGGGACCACTAATTTGACCGTCAGTGGGACCACTAATTTGACCGTCAGTGGGACCACAAATTTGACCGTCAGTGTGAACCTAATTAGTCTAGTTGTATTGCTAATTTGTCCGTTAGTGTGAACCTTATTTGTATAGGCGTATACGAGTACCACATATAGTTTACGCCGCTAGTTTGTCCAACTGATAATGCATGGTAATGTTTGATGCGATGAATGTGATGTGTGGTAGTGGACGTGATGTTTGATACAGTGACTGTGATGTTTGATACAGTGACTGTGATGTTAAATATATTGGATATGATGTTTGGTAAGGGGATCTGATGTTTAATATAGTGGATGTGTTCTTTATAGCAGTTGAGACCTTAAGTATAGTGGATGTGATCTTTATAGGAGTTGAGACCTTAAGTATAGTGGATGTGATCTTTATAGCAGTTGAGACCTTAAGTATAGTGGATGTGATCTTTATAGCAGTTGAGACCTTAAGTATAGTGTATGTGATCTTTATAGCAGTTGAGACCTTAAGTATAGTGGATGTGATCTTTATAGCAGTGGAGACCTTAAGTATAGTGGATGTGATCTTTATAGCAGTTGAGACCTTAAGTATAGTGTATGTGATCTTTATAGCAGTTGAGACCTTAAGTATAGTGGATGTGATCTTTATAGCAGTTGAGACCTTAAGTATAGTGGATGTGATCTTTATAGGAGTTGAGACCTTAAGTATAGTGGATGTGATCTTTATAGCAGTTGAGACCTTAAGTATAGTGGATGTGATCTTTATAGCAGTTGAGACCTTAAGTATAGTGTATGTGATCTTTATAGCTGTTGAGACCTTAAGTATAGTGGATGTGATCTTTATAGCAGTTGAGACCTTAAGTATAGTGTATGTGATCTTTATAGCAGTTGAGACCTTAAGTATAGTGGATGTGATCTTTATAGCAGTTGAGACCTTAAGTATAGTGGATGTGATCTTTATAGCAGTGGAGACCTTAAGTATAGTGGATGTGATCTTTATAGCAGTTGAGACCTTAAATATAGTGGATGTGATCTTTATAGCAGTTGAGACCTTAAGTATAGTGTATGTGATCTTTATAGCAGTTGAGACCTTAAGTATAGTGTATGTGATCTTTATAGCAGTTGAGACCTTAAGTATAGTGTATGTGATCTTTATAGCAGTTGAGACCTTAAGTATAGTGTATGTGATCTTTATAGCAGTTGAGACCTTAAGTATAGTGGATGTGATCTTTATAGCAGTTGAGACCTTAAGTATAGTGTATGTGATCTTTATAGCAGTTGAGACCTTAAGTATAGTGTATGTGATCTTTATAGCAGTTGAGACCTTAAGTATAGTGGATGTGATCTTTATAGCAGTGGAGACCTTAAGTATAGTGGATGTGATCTTTATAGCAGTTGAGACCTTAAGTATAGTGGATGTGATCTTTATAGCAGTTGAGACCTTAAGTATAGTGTATGTGATCTTTATAGCAGTTGAGACCTTAAGTATAGTGTATGTGATCTTTATAGCAGTTGAGACCTTAAGTATAGTGTATGTGATCTTTATAGCAGTTGAGACCTTAAGTATAGTGGATGTGATCTTTATAGCAGTTGAGACCTTAAGTATAGTGTATGTGATCTTTATAGCAGTTGAGACCTTAAGTATAGTGTATGTGATCTTTATAGCAGTTGAGACCTTAAGTATAGTGGATGTGATCTTTATAGCAGTGGAGACCTTAAGTATAGTGTATGTGATCTTTATAGCAGTTGAGACCTTAAGTATAGTGGATGTGATCTTTATAGCAGTTGAGACCTTAAGTATAGTGGATGTGATCTTTATAGCAGTTGAGACCTTAAGTATAGTGGATGTGATCTTTATAGCATTTGAGACCTTAAGTATAGTGGATGTGATCTTTATAGCAGTTGAGACCTTAAGTATAGTGGATGTGCTGTTTGGTATAGTTGGTGCAATAATTGATACAGTGGATGTGTTGTTAGATAAATTGGATGTGATTTTTTGATATAGTGGATATGTTGTACGAATGGCTGACTAGGTAGCGTACACATCGTTAACTAAGAAAGTATGAACTGACATTGTTCAGCCCTAACATTTTCCTGCATATGGATTTTAAAAGCATGTTTAAGTATGTGTTTAAGTATGTGTTTAAGTATAAGTTTAAGTATGTGTTTAAGTATGTGTTTAAGTATGTGTTAAAGTATGTGTTTAAGTATGTGTTTAAGTATGTGTTTAAGTATGTGTTTAAGTATGTTTTAAGTATGTGTTTAAGTATGTGTTTAAGTATGTGTTTAAGTATTTGTACAGACGGTGTGCGCCTGTCGAATCTCAGTTCTTTGAGAATGTCATGTGCAACATAAACAGTTCAGATCACAACTCAAATGTTGCCTCTCATTTTCACAGATCTCCCTACGTCATCTCCACATTGATTTAGGCCTCTTTGAAGATAGCGACATTTTAGGGGACTTTTTCAAAAGGTGAAGTCGACCTATACAATCCTGTGGTCCTACTCATAACAGTATACAAAAAAGTCCTAACGAGTTTCTTTCCTAGTCCTATCCTACAGTCTTGCTGACCTAACACTTCGGTCTTAAGTCTTCGAAATTCAAAAATGATACAGACCTACAATCGACAATCCTAAAATTTAAAGATAAATGTATATGTATATATATGTATATATATGTATATATATTATATATATATATATATATATATATATATATATATATATATATATATATATACATACACACGTTATTTTTTGTTGAGAGCCTGATCCGATTAAAATTAATGGAGTTCTATGCTTTTCTCAGGTGTCACAATTTAGAAAGTTTGTCAGTGAAATTGACCACTTTCGAAATGCTCGGAGAGTTCAAGGTTGAGCAGCAAATCAGACGAGCCATCGCCAGTCACCCAACCAAGCACGTCTGTAACGTCAACCTGAACGGTAGAGACGTCAGTTTGACGCAGGGATGGTTGACGTCTTTCGTTGGGTTGTTGGCCAGGGTTGTCTAAACGTGTGGATGGTTGGCGGAGTGATACATATAGTAGAGAACAACAATAGTGGCAGTCAAGTGGATGTTTGGTGGAGCAATACATAGGGTAGACAATACAAGTGTGGAAGGCACGTAGATGTTTTAGAAGCGCATGAAAAAACTGGAGAAATTCCATTCAATTGGCCAAGGAAAATTTGACCTTCGTCATGAAATGGATACTGTGTTGGTATCGTCATGACATGGATCCTGTGTTGGTATCGTCATGACATGGATCCTGTGTTGGTATCGTCATGACATGGATACTGTCTTGGTACCGTCATGACATTGATACTGTCTTGGTAGCGTCATGACATTGATACTGTCTTGGTATAAAACCGCAGACTGACTGTACCCAGCGTAAAAATCCTCTCGAACTATTTGTACCCAACTATTTGTACCCAACTAGAAATACGTGATATAACTACAACATGTAATGTATTCACCTGTGAAGATGTCATATCAACGTGCAAGTAATTCAGGCAAACATCAATATTTAAAACACCTATCATTTAATAAATGTTTACACATATTAAAACCTGAACTTTTCCTGAAGTGTATAAGTACTGCTGTCGGTAACATCTTCCATACTTACATACATCACGCAGTCGATTAAAGTGTTTAAATAATTCTTCAGACATCACACAATCCAATAAAGTGTTTAAGTCTTCTTGCTGATTGTGTTAAAATGTGAGAGGTTGAAGAATGTGAATAAAATTTATGTTTGAATCAGTGAGCTAATCTAACCTAACCTGATACGCGGACCTTTGACCACAGGTGGTTTGACCATAGGGTTTTGTTCACAGGGTAAAGATTAACTTAACATGAGAAAAAGTTGCATAACTTGATTTAATAACATGATTGTTCATCATTTATAACTAAAAGTCATCTAAAACACTCGTCGAAACCTAACATAACATAACATAACCTAACCTAGCCTAGCCTAGCCTAGCCTAGCCTAGCCTAGCCTAGCCTAGCCTAGCCTAGCCTAGCCTAGCCTAGCCTAGCCTAGCCTAGCCTAGCCTAGCCTAGCCTAGCCTAGCCTAGCCTAGCCTAGCCTAGCCTAGCCTAGCCTAGCCTAGCCTAGCCTAGCCTAGCCTAGCCGAGCCTAGCCGAGCCTAGCCGAGCCTAGCCGAGCCTAGACTTAACTTAGCCTGTGGTAACTCAAAAGTAAAAGTCAAAAACTGTAATCATGATGATGCCTTCTTCACTTGTAATCGAGTTATTTCCCCAGGACTCCAACATTAACTTTTCTATCGCACATTAAAATTTCCATCGATTACTTGAGCATCGATGCAGTAACAAATAAGAAACTTAGAGAACTAAAGAAAAAATCAAACTAGCTGACTAAGAACATACCCCCATTAACACATGAAACAGATTATAGTGATGGCCCACGAAAGAACATATCCCCATAAACTAATGAAACAGTTTACATTAATGGCTCACTAAAGAACATATCCCCCAATACAAATTATAGTGATGGCCCACTAAAGAACATATCCCCATAAACTAATGAAACAGTTTACATTGATGGGTCAGCAGAACAAACCGGTCAAAAGAGAAAGGCTGGAACACTGACGGGGTAATGAAAGCTCAGGTTCAGGTTATATTTGCAGTTCCAGTTTAATGTCAGTTTCCGGTTAAAGTGACGATTTGATATAATTAATGTTTTCGTTTGAGTTTAAGATTTAAGTTGAAGGCCAATAATCTAGTATTTAGGTTTAAGTTGAGGGTCAATAATCTAGTATTTAGGTTTAAGTTGAGGGCTAATAATCTAGTATTTAGGTTTAAGTTGAGGGCCAATAATCTCGCATAAATAGAGAATTTGACAATCTTTGACATTCTGCATCCTTCCGGATATAAGTATTGTAACAAATCTGTTGATCTCTATATTAACTTTTGAGCGATTTCTAGTAACCGGAAATGATACGTAATCTACTTCCGGTTTCTCATTAGCCAATAACTAGAACGTGGTTTATGTCAGGTAGACGAAATTTAAAATATATATTTATTATAGTGAATATTTTTAAACGAAGTATTTGAAAAATAATTAATGTAAAAATTTCTATTACACAATTGAACTCAAATTACCATCCCCATTACTGTTAGATAAGAATATAGAAGAAAAGTTTAGGGGATATCACTCACGCTTTATTGAAAAGTGTATAGTCGGGAGTTCGCATTTATTTTTTTGAGTACAACGTCATCACGTAATGATTAGCACATTTGTTTACTTCCGGTTCTACAGTATAGGTGCTGAGGTTTCTATCACCAAAATACGGGAGACGTTTATATTTAGGATTAGATTATTTTACTAATGTTGTCATGTAAACAATAACACTACAAAAATCAAGAATCGTTGTATCACCAAAGTAGATATACCTTACATGAAAGAGAAGGCTAAGACCTGCAATTAAAGGTTATAATCTTCAGTGTTTTTTCACACGAAGTTTGAATGGGTGCTGAGTGGTCGAGGTTTAGCTACTTCAATCCTTACCATCGTGCTACAGCCAACACAACCGTTGCCGAACGTGACGACGAGAATCTTGAGGACTCAGGCGAAAATAGTACCGAGCATGACGTGGTAGGTGGTCACAACATTTTCAAATCTGATGCCTTAATGGCAGAGTCTAGAGCTACTCATATAACTTATGTGTGAGGGATTATGTGTGTGATGTTTTGTGAAGGGGTTTGTGTGGGGAATGAAGATTGCATGTTAACAATCTTGTTGTCTTTCGCTCACAAATATTGTGTCATTCTTACAATTTACTTTTAACCATTCTACTGTTTATTACTCTAATACACTTGAATATCTGTGAATTGAACCTTGGACCTGTCCATGTATTAAAACGTTGAACCCTTTAAATATCCACTAATCCGCTATACCATCCAGTCCACAGGACCCGACTGGACCCGCCTACCGTACCCAGTCTTGCTGCAAGTCCTACAACTCCTGGACGAGACCGACAGGTACCACGCGGCTCTCACCTGTACGGCCTGGCTACTGCCGCTGCCGAGGCCGTTACCGTGTCGCACCGGACACTTCAAGTTTAATCCTGCCACAGCTGTGAAAGCACTTCAATGCGCTAGGGACCACGGGAAATCTTTGCGTCACATTACAGCTGACTGTTCAGGTTGTTCAGGATTTTATTTCAAGTAGTGACACATTTCAATAGTTTAGAAGTAACGGTATGACACTGTTGCGGTAGTTAAAAGTCTTGTCTTTGGTGTATCATCGCTTTCGTTCATTAAAAAGGGCACGATATCTTTAGTGTGTTCATATTGCGACGACTCTTCGGTCTGTTAATGCACCATTTATTATATCCGCTAAATAGTGCATCTTCTATTTTAACCATTTCGATTGGTCAGAGCTCATCTCATTAGACCAGGGGTCTCCAAACTACGGCCCTCGAAGTCCTCTCATTCGGCCCGCGGAGATATTTTTGTCCACGGAAAAATCGTTTGTTGGTGAAGGCTGAGGAACTTTGCCCAGAAAAATCAAAGACATGCCTGGAAGAAACTGGCCCCCGAACTGAAATTTGATAGTTAATGCGGCCCTTGGACTGAAAAGTTTGGAGACCCCTGCATTAGACAATGATACATTTCATTGGTCAGGTAGGGTGTTACAAAGCTTAGAGAATGTGGGTGGTTGGTTAGTTACAGTTGAAACGGTTTCCCTTATCACAGTGCTGGACAATGGTCAACGCAAGCACACAGAGGTGGTGCACCAGTTCATCATCATCCTACTGCAAGCTGACAACCAACAGCTGCTCACTCTCAGACTGACCAACATGAGCATGCTGACGCCAGACACGGACCACCCCGTTTCGAGTCTGGTCAAATCCCTGGCCGCTCTGCTGAAACACCAGCATCAGTTAGTGGTGTTAGACCTCAGTCAGGCTGGTCTAAATGTCAATCAAGGTCAGTAACGATGGTCTAAATGTTTACCAAGATCAATAACTTTGGTCTAAAAGTTTAGCAAGGTCAGTAACTTAGGTCTAAAAGTTTAGCACGGTCAGTAACGATGGTCTAAAAGTTTACCAAGATCAATAACTTTGGTCTAAAAGTCTAGCAAGGTCAGTAACTCTGGTCTAAATTTTACCAAGATCAAAAACTCTTGTCTAAATGTATAACAAGATCAATAACTTTGGTCTAAATGTTTACCAAGATCAATAACTTTGGTCTAAAAGTTTACCAAGGTCAGTAACTCTGGTCTAAACGTTGACCCACGTTGGCCATTGGGCACCAACTACACGTTCCAGGCAACTTGAATCTGCTATATATTCTGCGCGTGATTGCTTGGTCTGGATTTCTCTCTCTCACCGTATCCCTCTAAACTCTCTCAGCATTCCCTTACACTCTTTCAGCATTCACTTACACTCTCAACATTCCCCTATACTCTCTCAACATTCCCCTACACTCTCTCAACATTCCTCTACACTCTCTCAGTATTCCTCTTCACGCTTAACATTCCCCTACACTCTCTCAGCATTCTCCTACACTCTTAACATTCCTCTACACTCTCTAAGCATTCTTCTACACTCTCTTAGCATTCCTCTACACTCTCTCAACGTTCCCTTACACTCTCTCAACATTCATCTACACTCTCTCAACATTCCTCTACACTCTCTCAGCATTCCTCTACACTCTCTCAACATTCCTCTACACTCTCTCAACATTCCTCTACACTCTTAACATTCCCCTACACTCTCTCAACATTCCTCTACGCTCCCTTAACATTCCTGACGCGGATAAATTTCTCTATCCCAACCTACCACTGTTTACACAAAGTTGAGTTGTACGTTATGGGTTGTACTCACACTCCCCACGTATATGTTTTATTGATCATTGTCTTCTTTAAATGTGCAAGACGCCACATTAAAAGCACTACACATTAATGTAAACGATAAGGTTGTATTTACCCAGACCTTGGATGATAGCTCCAGTCTCCAACAGCAATTACCACACATGTCACTCATAAACTGGACAACCGTTGAATGAAGCTAATACTCTCAAACTGTTTCAGGCTTGCGGCTATTGAACTCTGCAACCTTAAGCTCCCGAAGGACCTTAAAAACACTGGCCATAGATGAGTTAATCGGTCTCAACCTTTCATTTGATCATTTAGCTTTTCAAGAACTCTTAATCTGCGTCATTCGCTGCACCCTCTCTGGTATGTGAGAGTAGGTTACGTTTTTTGCTCATAAAGTATTGAGGTGGAATCGTATGTCCATTTTTTAAGTACTTTATTTTGTTAATGAAAGCCGAAACGATGCTGTTAAATAAATAACCGTTTTTCTTTAATGTTGTGTTTATTAAATACCAAATTTGGTTCTCGTCAAAATGCCGACTTACGTGTTTTCTCAGCTATACCTACCTATCAGTCTTTTAAAGCTAAATCACAGCTATAGGCTACTTACCTGTCTATCTTTAAGCACTAGATCTCAGCTATACCTACCTGTCTGTATTTTAGCACTAGATCTCAGCTATACCTGTCTTTCAGCACTAGATCTCAGCTATACCTACCTGTCTGTATTTTAGCACTAGATCTCAGCTATACCTACCTGTCTGTATTTTAGTACTAGATCTCAGCTATACCTACCTGTTTTTCAGCACTAGATCTCAGCTATACCTACCTGTCTTTTAGAGCTAGATCTCAGCTATACCTACCTGTCTTTCAGCTTTAGATCTCAGCTATACCTACCTGTCTGTATTTTAGCACTAGATCACAGCTATACCTACCTGTCTTTCAGAGCTAGATCTCAGCTATACCTACCTGTCTTTCATAGCTAGATCTCAGCTATACCTACCTGTCTTTTAGTGCTAGATCTCAGCTATACCTACCTGTCTTTTAGAGCTAGATCTCAGCTATACCTACCTGTCTACCAGCACTAGATCACAGCTATACCTACCTATCTTTCAGAGCTAGATCTCAGCTATACCTACCTGTCTTTCAGAGCTAGATCTCAGCTATACCTACCTGTCTACCAGCACTAGATCTCAGCTATACCTACCTGTCTTTCAGAGCTAGATCTCAGCTGTACCTACCTGTCTACCAGCACTAGATCTCAGCTATACCTACCTGTCTTTCAGAGCTAGATCTCAGCTATACCTACCTGTCTTTCAGAGCTAGATCTCAGCTATACCTACCTGTCTTTCAGAGCTAGATCTCAGCTATACCTACCTGTCTGACAACCTGCTATACAGCCTGGCCCTAAAAGGCAGGGACCAACTGAAGTTGATGACGATACGGGCAAGGTACAAGTTCTTGGTGCAGAGGGTAACATCAGCGCCAGCCTGGCAGAGCCTCACACACTCATGCCCAAGTCTGAAAGTTGTATTTTATATCATACCACAGTCGGTAAGCTGTTTCTATTACCACAGTCGGTAAGTTGTTTCTATTATCGCAGTTGGTAACTTAATTATATGCTGACCCTGCACCCTCGCAGAAGTATTCTAGCAATGTAATCGATGTATACATTTCGTTTGAATAAATGCTTACAGTTGTTCTATTCTTATATATAAAAGACCATGTGCGTACTTCTCTCTCGCTCTCTCCGCAATATTTATGGCAAGGTCGTCAGCATGTTCAGCGATATATGGAGAACTTAAAGATACGGATTTTTGTTGAAAATAATATGGTGGATGGTTAAATGTATAAACTATTTTTTTTTAAAGAAAGAAAATAAAAAAGGCATACTTGAATGTATAAACAGGTTTCTAACTAAAGCGTTTATTGTCGTGACAAGAACGCAAAAAACAATTAGATTAGACGTACGCTATGAAATGTATACAATACAATTTCCTCGGCCTAAACTTATAAAACTTACTTCATCTATTTGGATTCTAGATCTAGAGCTACGGAAAAACTAGACTTAACAAGCCAGTCGTAGATTCTAGATCTAGATCTACGGAAAAAGTAGACTTAGATTCTAGATCTAGATTCTATCTAGTTTGTAAAGAGAAGAGAGCTAAAAGTCACCAAAATTTCCCGTGTAACGGGTACCGACGGCTAGTACGACATAAAAGCTGTACTACACGGTTTGGATTCATTGACGGAAAACATACACACACAACATACACATACACACACATTTACATATATACATATATACATACATATATATATATATATATATATATATATATATATATATATATATATATATATATATATATATATATTATGTGTGTGTTTCAGTCAAAGCCCGAAGTCGGCCAAAGCGCGCACTGGCCGGCCAATGCGCGCATTGGCCAATATCGCCTCTCATTGACCGGTCAAAGTCCGAAACTTAACTTGATTTCGGCCTTTGACCGGCCAGTCCGCCGACTGGCCATGGTGGACCGGCTAAATTCCTAATTAGAAGATCATGCGCAGATTTAGTGTTTTTTCATACCGTTTGGATCACGAAATTAAGTCTTAATTGATTATTAATTAAAGTAAATGACAGAAACATTCAAATTATTTTATTATACTATAGTCTAAATCAATATTATCACTTGTTACAATAAGTTGAACTTTCATGGCATTTAGAATTACATAGTAGCTTGTTATTTTTACACTTGCAGCGATTTGTTTTGCATTTGGTTGTGCAATTACAGCAAATGTAGCCTTTGCCGCCGGTCAGTAATTGTCTAGATGCGATGGATCATAGTGATTTTTTCTCAGTGCCAACGGAAGACAATGAGAGCAGTTTTTCGTGAAGAATTGAAAACTCACTTCTAGCATACAGTTGTTTTAGAACACCATGTTCCTTTCCTAGCTTGTAGAAAGCGCACTCGACGCTCATGACAACTGCAATCACGCTTCGGGGATCACCGCGACCTCTGTCTACATCTGGTATACAGATGCGAACATTATCTCCGACTTCAGCTTGTTTAAAATTTGTATCTGATTTTTTAGAGTCTTGGTACCTTAATTTCTTGTTCAATGTTCTCAAGATCTTCCTCAGCAACTAAATTATCGAGAGACTCTCTTGGTAGATTTGAAGTGCTAAGTCTCACTTTTGTTTTGCATCCAAACAAGGCTTCGTTTGGCGATTGTTGGTTTACTTTATGAAAAAAACGGTTTTTCATAAATTGAAAGAAATTGACTCTCAGCTCAATGATTCATTTGTTTGCATCCATGTCATCACCATGTTTTAAACATCTTGGTTGGCACGTTCCTTGGCTTTGGATTTCCGTGAACTAGTTTAAGTTTAAGTCACACGCAGAGGCGTAGCGACCCTTCCCGGCGCCCGGGGACATACTTTCAATTTGGCGCCCCCCTCGGGAGCAAATTTTCGATTTGCATCCCCCCTCGAACTTTTCATTTGCATTCCCCTCAAACTTTCAATTTGGCGCCCCCCTAAGGTCGGCGCCCGGGGACATATGTCCCCCCCCCGCCCCCCCCCCCCCCCCCCCTCGCTACGCCTCTGGTCACACGTTCTTTAGTTCAGAAATAACTTGATTCACAAATTTTCTTCCATTAGGATTTGGATTATTTATTTTGGTAGCCATCTGGTATGTCTGTCGCTTGGTCTGACGGTCCTTTTGGTAGGCTACATGTCGCATTGTATATAGAACGCATGTAGAATGCATTACAAACAAGAGCCAAACCATACGTTACTCACAATGAAACCTCACCCAGAATAATGAAAACACGATCACAACTTAATCTAGATTGGACATCCCGGCCGGTGCGAACATTGTCTGGCCAATGAATGAAATACTTTGTCAATTTTATACTTTTCGGACTTTGACCATTACGTCCCGGCCAGTGCACGCATTGGCCGGCCAATGTAGGAAATATGCTGTCAAGTTAAAGGTTTTCGGACTTTGGCCAGTACTTCCGGCCAGTGCGCGCATTGGCCGGCCAATGCGGGCTTTGACCGCACTTCGGGCTTTGACCGTAACACACACACACACACACACACATATATATATATATATATATATATATATATATATATATATATATATATATATATATATATATATATATATATATATATATATATATATATATATATATATATATATAAACATATATACATATATATATATATATATATATATATATATATATATATATATATATATATATATGTAGAGAGAAAGAAATAAAGAAAGAGGATGTCTTAATCTTTTGAACTATGCCCACACCACTGCTCTTTTTTTTTTCATAGCGGTTATCTGTGTCATGTACACATGTGACATGTACATCTGTACCATGTACACACGTAACATGTACATCTGTACCATGTACACACGTAACATGTACACATGTATTTCATTCAGGATTCCTGCTCGGACCGATCCCTGTGTAACATGTTGACCCCGTCCCTCCCCCTGCATGCACTGTACTGGGGTTCAGAGGCGTCACGTACCCACATAACTCACGGCAGTTTCCAGCATATCGCCACACACTTTCAGGTGAGTCAGTACACCATTGTTTCGTCATGGTGCTTTTAAGTCACAATACCTACAAATGTCTGTGGTTATACCCGATTAAATCATTAAAGAAAAAAGAAAAATCTGTTTGTAAAGAAAAAAAAATATGTTGATAGAAAATTTTAAAAATTAATATAAAACTATTGAACGAATATTAATTTGTATATAATAACAATAAATAAATATTATTTCTGATTATAGAATTTTGGTTCATATTCAAATTGTTTATGTTGTGGGTTTTTTGGTTGAGTTGGTTTTGAGGTGTTTTTTTAGGTGGTTTTCAGAGTTTCTTCCAGTCATCAAAACGAATTTAAATTTATATTGAAAATATATACTTGTAACAAAATCAACAAGCACCAGTTTGTAAGAAGCCGCTGTGTACTACGACACTGATCACACCCTATAATATAAAACTACCAAGTGTCTGTCCCAAAACGGTTGGGAATAACGTCGTCCCTCTCACAAAGCATACAGAGTTAGACTTTCTCCTGCGAATAGACAAAGCTCAAACGAAACGATAAGTAGAGCAAAGACTGGGTAATGCATAGTTTCTTGTAAGCTGGAACAAAATGCTCAGTTTAATTCAATCCTAAGGGAGACCTATGTAACAACAAAGAAATATATGTTATATATATATATATATATATATATATATATATATATATATATATATATATATATATATATATATATATATATGTGTGTGTGTGTGTGTGTGTGTGTGTGTGTGTGTGTGTGTGTGTTAAATTAGTCCTTAACCAAATCCCAAAAACAAAACTTAAATTTAAACTTAACGTAAGTGTAAGTCATATTCTAAACCTAAAAGTTAACTTCTCAAAATCTTCAATCCAACTCTAACCTAAAATTTTAAGTGTTAAGATTAAGGCAGGTTTTGATATTGTTTTGTATAAATTATTTGCAGAGCATTATATATATATTTCGTTTATTAAGTGTCTAGGTTTCAATGGATGCAATTTCAAAATAAATACATACTTCAAATATTGACCTTTGACACTTGAAATTCTTAAAAAAAAAAAAATAAATAAATAAAAATGTAAATACTTTGAGCCTTCCGGGAAAAAAACACCCATTTTATATAACGCTTATGCATTATTTAGAATGACCAAATGGCATAACATTGCGTTAACATAGAACAAGTTACTATTTCAATTGAATGTACACATTTTCGTGTTTGGTTTAATAGAATTCGTGAATGTACACAATTTTTGTTTTTTTATAGAGTTTGTGAATGTACACATTTTGCGTTTTTCATAGAATTTGCCAATGTACACAATTATGTGTTTTTAATAGAATTTCGAATATACACAATACTGTTTTTTTTTTCAAACTGTTTGCGAGTGTACACAATTTGGTGTTTTTCTTAGAATTTGTGAATGTACACATTTTTGTGTTTATTTTCACAGAATTCGCTCCACCATCTCCACCTCCATTACAATTTTGATCTTAATATGGATGGTGTCGCTAACCTCTACAATAGGTGAGTTAGTGGCTCTGTCTTTGACCTAGAGGGTGAGTTAGTGGCTCTGTCTTTGACCTAGAGGGTGAGTTAGTGACTCTGTCTTTGACCTTGTGTGTGAGTTAGTGGCTCTGTCTTTGACCTAGAGGGTGAGTTAGTGGCTCTGTCTTTGACCTAGAGGGTGAGTTAGTGGCTCTGTCTGTGACCTAGAGGGTGAGTTAGTGGCTCTGTCTTTGACCTTGTGTGTGAGTTAGTGGCTCTGTCTTTGACCTTGTGTGTGAGTTAGTGGCTCTGTCTTTGACCTTGTGTGTGAGTTAGTGGCTCTGTCTTTGACCTTGTGTGTGAGTTAGTGGCTCTGTCTTTGACCTTGTGTGTGAGTTAGTGGCTCTGTCTTTGACCTTGTGTGTGAGTTAGTGGCTCTGTCTTTGACCTAGAGGGTGAGTTAGTGGCTCTGTCTTTGACCTTGTGTGTGAGTTAGTGGCTCTGTCTTTGACCTTGTGTGTGAGTTAGTGGCTCTGTCTGTGACCTAGAGGGTGAGTTAGTGGCTCTGTCTTTGACCTAGAGGGTGAGTTAGTGGCTCTGTCTTTGACCTTGTGTGTGAGTTAGTGGCTCTGTCTTTGACCTAGAGGGTGAGTTAGTGGCTCTGTCTGTGACCTAGAGGGTGAGTTAGTGGCTCTGTCTTTGACCTTGTGTGTGAGTTAGTGGCTCTGTCTTTGACCTTGTGTGTGTGTTAGTGGCTCTGTCTTTGACCTTGTGTGTGAGTTAGTGGCTCTGTCTTTGACCTTGTGTGTGAGTAAGTGGCTCTGTCTTTGACCTTGTGTGTGAGTTAGTGGCTCTGTCATTGACCTTGTGTGTGAGTTAGTGGCTCTGTCTTTGACCTTGTGTGTGAGTTAGTGGCTCTGTCTTTGACCTTGTGTGTGAGTAAGTGGCTCTGTCTTTGACCTTGTGTGTGAGTTAGTGGCTCTGTCTTTGACCTAGAGGGACAGTGGCTCTGTCTTTGACCTTGTGTGTGAGTTAGTGGCTCTGTCTTTGACCTAGAGGGTGAGTTAGTGGCTCTGTCTTTGACCTTGTGTGTGAGTTAGTGGCTCTGTCTTTGACCTAGAGGGTGAGTTAGTGGCTCTGTCTTTGACCTAGAGGGTGAGTTAGTGACTCTGTCTTTGACCTTGTGTGTGAGTTAGTGGCTCTGTCTTTGACCTAGAGGGTGAGTTAGTGGCTCTGTCTTTGACCTAGAGGGTGAGTTAGTGGCTCTGTCTGTGACCTAGAGGGTGAGTTAGTGGCTCTGTCTTTGACCTTGTGTGTGAGTTAGTGGCTCTGTCTTTGACCTTGTGTGTGAGTTAGTGGCTCTGTCTTTGACCTTGTGTGTGAGTTAGTGGCTCTGTCTTTGACCTTGTGTGTGAGTTAGTGGCTCTGTCTTTGACCTAGTGTGTGAGTTAGTGGCTCTGTCTGTGACCTAGAGGGTGAGTTAGTGGCTCTGTCTTTGACCTTGTGTGTGAGTTAGTGACTCTGTCTTTGACCTAGAGGGTGAGTTAGTGGCTCTGTCTTTGACCTTGTGTGTGAGTTAGTGGCTCTGTCTTTGACCTAGAGGGTGAGTTAGTGGCTCTGTCTTTGACCTTGTGTGTGAGTTAGTGGCTCTGTCTGTGACCTAGAGGGTGAGTTAGTGGCTCTGTCTTTGACCTAGTGTGTGAGTTAGTGGCTCTGTCTGTGACCTAGAGGGTGAGTTAGTGGCTCTGTCTTTGACCTTGTGTGTGAGTTAGTGACTCTGTCTTTGACCTAGAGGGACAGTGGCTCTGTCTTTGACCTTGTGTGTGAGTTAGTGGTTCTGTCTTTGACCTTGTGTGTGAGTTAGTGGCTCTGTCTTTGACCTAGAGGGTGAGTTAGTGGCTCTGTCTTTGACCTTGTGTGTGAGTTAGTGGCTCTGTCTTTGACCTTGTGTGTGAGTTAGTGGCTCTGTCTTTGACCTTGTGTGTGAGTTAGTGGCTCTGTCTTTGACCTAGAGGGTGAGTTAGTGGCTCTGTCTTTGACCTTGTGTGTGAGTTAGTGGCTCTGTCTTTGACCTTGTGTGTGAGTTAGTGGCTCTGTCTTTGACCTAGAGGGTGAGTTAGTGGCTCTGTCTTTGACCTTGTGTGTGAGTTAGTGGCTCTGTCTTTGACCTTGTGTGTGAGTTAGTGGCTCTGTCTTTGACCTTGTGTGTGAGTTAGTGGCTCTGTCTTTGACCTTGTGTGTGAGTTAGTGGCTCTGTCTTTGACCTAGAGGGTGAGTTAGTGGCTCTGTCTTTGACCTTGTGTGTGAGTTAGTGGCTCTGTCTTTGACCTTGTGTGTGAGTTAGTGGCTCTGTCTTTGACCTAGAGGGTGAGTTAGTGGCTCTGTCTTTGACCTTGTGTGTGAGTTAGTGGCTCTGTCTGTGACCTTGTGTGTGAGTTAGTGGCTCTGTCTGTGACCTTGTGTGTGAGTTAGTGGCTCTGTCTTTGACCTTGTGTGTGAGTTAGTGGCTCTGTCTTTGACCTAGAGGGTGAGTTAGTGGCTCTGTCTTTGACCTTGTGTGTGAGTTAGTGGCTCTGTCTGTGACCTTGTGTGTGAGTTAGTGGCTCTGTCTGTGACCTTGTGTGTGAGTTAGTGGCTCTGTCTTTGACCTTGTGTGTGAGTTAGTGGCTCTGTCTTTGACCTTGTGTGTGAGTTAGTGGCTCTGTCTTTGACCTTGTGTGTGAGTTAGTGGCTCTGTCTTTGACCTTGTGTGTGAGTTAGTGGCTCTGTCTTTGACCTTGTGTGTGAGTTAGTGGCTCTGTCTTTGACCTTGTGTGTGAGTTAGTGGCTCTGTCTTTGACCTAGTGTGTGAGTTAGTGGTTCTGTCTTTGACCTTGTGTGTGAGTTAGTGGCTCTGTCTTTGACCTTGTGTGTGAGTTAGTGGCTCTGTCTTTGACCTTGTGTGTGAGTTAGTGGCTCTGTCTTTGACCTTGTGTGTGAGTAAGTGGCTCTGTCTTTGACCTTGTGTGTGAGTTAGTGGTTCTGTCTTTGACCTTGTGTGTGAGTTAGTGGCTCTGTCTTTGACCTTGTGTGTGAGTTAGTGGCTCTGTCTTTGACCTAGAGGGTGAGTTAGTGGCTCTGTCTTTGACCTTGTGTGTGAGTTAGTGGCTCTGTCTTTGACCTTGTGTGTGAGTTAGTGGTTCTGTCTGTGACCTTGTGTGTGAGTTAGTGGCTCTGTCTTTGACCTTGTGTGTGAGTTAGTGGCTCTGTCTTTGACCTAGAGGGTGAGTTAGTGGCTCTGTCTTTGACCTTGTGTGTGAGTTAGTGGCTCTGTCTGTGACCTAGAGGGTGAGTTAGTGGCTCTGTCTTTGACCTTGTGTGTGAGTTAGTGGCTCTGTCTTTGACCTAGAGGGTGAGTTAGTGGCTCTGTCTTTGACCTTGTGTGTGAGTTAGTGGCTCTGTCTTTGACCTAGAGGGACAGTGGCTCTGTCTTTGACCTTGTGTGTGAGTTAGTGGTTCTGTCTTTGACCTTGTGTGTGAGTTAGTGGCTCTGTCTTTGACCTAGAGGGTGAGTTAGTGGCTCTGTCTTTGACCTTGTGTGTGAGTTAGTGGCTCTGTCTGTGACCTTGTGTGTGAGTTAGTGGCTCTGTCTGTGACCTTGTGTGTGAGTTAGTGGCTCTGTCTTTGACCTTGTGTGTGAGTTAGTGGCTCTGTCTTTGACCTTGTGTGTGAGTTAGTGGCTCTGTCTTTGACCTTGTGTGTGAGTTAGTGGCTCTGTCTTTGACCTTGTGTGTGAGTTAGTGGCTCTGTCTTTGACCTTGTGTGTGAGTTAGTGGCTCTGTCTTTGACCTTGTGTGTGAGTTAGTGGCTCTGTCTTTGACCTAGTGTGTGAGTTAGTGGTTCTGTCTTTGACCTTGTGTGTGAGTTAGTGGCTCTGTCTTTGACCTTGTGTGTGAGTTAGTGGCTCTGTCTTTGACCTTGTGTGTGAGTTAGTGGCTCTGTCTTTGACCTTGTGTGTGAGTAAGTGGCTCTGTCTTTGACCTTGTGTGTGAGTTAGTGGTTCTGTCTTTGACCTTGTGTGTGAGTTAGTGGCTCTGTCTTTGACCTTGTGTGTGAGTTAGTGGCTCTGTCTTTGACCTAGAGGGTGAGTTAGTGGCTCTGTCTTTGACCTTGTGTGTGAGTTAGTGGCTCTGTCTTTGACCTTGTGTGTGAGTTAGTGGTTCTGTCTGTGACCTTGTGTGTGAGTTAGTGGCTCTGTCTTTGACCTTGTGTGTGAGTTAGTGGCTCTGTCTTTGACCTAGAGGGTGAGTTAGTGGCTCTGTCTTTGACCTTGTGTGTGAGTTAGTGGCTCTGTCTGTGACCTAGAGGGTGAGTTAGTGGCTCTGTCTTTGACCTTGTGTGTGAGTTAGTGGCTCTGTCTTTGACCTAGAGGGTGAGTTAGTGGCTCTGTCTTTGACCTTGTGTGTGAGTTAGTGGCTCTGTCTTTGACCTAGAGGGACAGTGGCTCTGTCTTTGACCTTGTGTGTGAGTTAGTGGTTCTGTCTTTGACCTTGTGTGTGAGTTAGTGGCTCTGTCTTTGACCTAGAGGGTGAGTTAGTGGCTCTGTCTTTGACCTTGTGTGTGAGTTAGTGGCTCTGTCTTTGACCTTGTGTGTGAGTTAGTGGCTCTGTCTTTGACCTTGTGTGTGAGTTAGTGGCTCTGTCTTTGACCTAGAGGGGGTGAGTTAGTGGCTCTGTCTTTGACCTTGTGTGTGAGTTAGTGGCTCTGTCTTTGACCTTGTGTGTGAGTTAGTGGCTCTGTCTTTGACCTAGAGGGTGAGTTAGTGGCTCTGTCTTTGACCTTGTGTGTGAGTTAGTGGCTCTATCTTTGACCTTGTGTGTGAGTTAGTGGCTCTGTCTTTGACCTAGAGGGTGAGTTAGTGGCTCTGTCTTTGACCTTGTGTGTGAGTTAGTGGCTCTGTCTTTGACCTTGTGTGTGAGTTAGTGGCTCTGTCTTTGACCTTGTGTGTGAGTTAGTGGCTCTGTCTTTGACCTAGAGGGTGAGTTAGTGGCTCTGTCTTTGACCTTGTGTGTGAGTTAGTGGCTCTGTCTGTGACCTTGTGTGTGAGTTAGTGGCTCTGTCTGTGACCTTGTGTGTGAGTTAGTGGCTCTGTCTTTGACCTTGTGTGTGAGTTAGTGGCTCTGTCTTTGACCTAGAGGGTGAGTTAGTGGCTCTGTCTTTGACCTTGTGTGTGAGTTAGTGGCTCTGTCTTTGACCTTGTGTGTGAGTTAGTGGCTCTGTCTTTGACCTTGTGTGTGAGTAAGTGGCTCTGTCTTTGACCTAGAGGTCGAGTTAGTGGCTCTGTCTTTGACCTAGAGGTCGAGTTAGTGGCTCTGTCTTTGACCTTGTGTGTGAGTTAGTGGCTCTGTCTGTGACCTTGTGTGTGAGTTAGTGGCTCTGTCTGTGACCTTGTGTGTGAGTTAGTGGCTCTGTCTTTGACCTTGTGTGTGAGTTAGTGGCTCTGTCTTTGACCTTGTGTGTGAGTTAGTGGCTCTGTCTTTGACCTTGTGTGTGAGTTAGTGGCTCTGTCTTTGACGTTGTGTGTGAGTTAGTGGCTCTGTCTGTGACCTAGAGGGTGAGTTAGTGGCTCTGTCTTTGACCTTGTGTGTGAGTTAGTGGCTCTGTCTGTGACCTAGAGGGTGAGTTAGTGGCTCTGTCTTTGACCTTGTGTGTGAGTTAGTGGCTCTGTCTTTGACCTTGTGTGTGAGTTAGTGGCTCTGTCTTTGACCTTGTGTGTGAGTTAGTGGCTCTGTCTTTGACCTTGTGTGTGAGTTTGTGGCTCTGTCTGTAGCCTATGTACCTGTCAAAAAATTAGACAGTCTTTAAGTGGTATATCAATGTCATATTAATACATAGTTATGGTGTTATACAGCAATGTTATATAACACTTACCTTAACTTCTTTTTTTAATCGATGTATAGAATGGTCGATGTAAAGCTCTACCATTTTTTTTTCTTATTGAGGTGACGATGATTTTTTCCAAAGGTTAATTATGAACAAAAATTCAATTTATTCCCTACAGCTGTCAGAACCTAAAAACATTGGCTTTGTGTAAAGTTTGTAATTCTGAAGTGGAGGAGTGCCGACAAAAAATGCTGATTGGTTACGCTCTAGCTCGGCACCCAGCCAACCCCGCGTGTAGCGTCACGTTTAACGGCGTGGACGTGAGTGGACAAGACCCATGTCACACCGTCCTGTCGATGGTGGGATGGTGCTGTGAGCAGGTTAAAATATGGGCCGGTAAAGGTTGGACATTGGTTGAAACGCTGGTAGTGTGGTTCCAATCGTTCTTTTGATGCCTGGATATGATCGGCTAGACATCCCATGAGATAATGAATTGACATCGTAAATGTGAAAACATTAAATGGTTTTATAACACAATAATGTTTATCGTTTGATTCATTAAACGTTTATTATTGTTGATGCTATAAGACTCTGTTTTGAACACACGGACACGCGTTTTGGGTGATCCGCTGCGTAGCGCAACACATAAGATAAACAACCACAAACGGGTTACAAAACAAGACTGAATTTAACAAAGGTTCGTTGAAACTAAAATAATTTAATAATATCACCACTACTACACCTAACACAGTCTATTCTAAACACAAAACACACAAGCTAATAAAACTATAATACAGTGCCTAAAAACTGGTATAGACCTAACCTGTACTAACCTCGGAGATCTAGACGATTCTGGGCCAATCACACACGTTTTCATACACCTTATATACCCATTCATAAACTGGTACAAACCTGACTATTACAACTCACAGCACGAGAACTGAACAAGGACGAACGGGATAGGGTACAAAGTAACAACAACATTCACCCCCATTCATCCCCCTTCACTCATTCACTACAGACTCAGAAAATCATTGGAAATTGTAACTCGGTCTGGTCGAAAAAAAAAACTAGAAAAAAAAAACAGAAGCTTTTTTATATACTGAAAATAAGCAAATAAAACGATTTTATTTTCTTAAGAAATTGTTTGTTATAATTGTTTGTTATAATGTATAAGCCGTGTTTCTGTGTAGCATCTCTCCGGGGTATAGTTATCCACTTGCCTTCCCTCTCCCCCCTCCTTTTTTCCCACCCCGAGGAAAATGTTTGCATTAAATCCAATCCTTAGCTGGCGATCTAAGTCTAACGACAACAATCTGGCCCTGATGAATCCCAACTTTGGCTTTCAAATGTAAAATTGCTTGTGAACATCAGGTGGTTGATCACGCGATCTTCAGTACTTCATCCTGTCATTAGAAGCTTCTCGTGAGTTCAAAATTACTGTTTGTATAAGTACAACCTACTTTCTCTATTGGACGTAATGTGTTGTTAAGTACATTGTTTATCTTGTGTTTGCTAAGGACATACTCAACGCTTAACAAAACACGATTACATTTCGTATGTTACATTTTACAACTTGTCAACTGAGATTTACTAAAGAATAAATTCTTCAACTTTTCACATATTCTGAATATCCTGTCTTTTTTATTAAAACAGTAATTAAAATACATTACGTTTTAACGGTAATCACAAAAAAACAGAAAATAACTGCCTGTATTTAATTACATTTCATTTTATCGTTAATCACAAAAAAAAAAACAGAAAATAACTGCCTGTATTTAAATACATTTCATTTTATCGTTAATCACAAAAAAACAGAAAATAACTGCCTGTATTTAAATACATTTCATTTTATCGTTAATCACAAAAAACAACAGAAAATAACTGTATATATTGAAACACCGAACTCTCGTCCATGGAAAAACTTGGAGAACTAAACAAAACGACAAACTAATCTATTTAAATGCCATTTCCCTTCAACTCGTGGATCAGTCAACACATCAATGAGCTCCCTATGAAGGGAATAATATATTCTCCTTGAGTGAATGGCCAGGCTTTTAATTTTAGTAAGGCAAACTAAATTTAAATTTTCCTTTTTTTTTGCATTTTTTAAATTTGCGATTTATTATTATTTTTAATATAATAGAAAATCTAATATGTAGGCCTAATAAAAAGAAATAAAATAAAATATGATCTTATGTAGGAAATTTCGTCTACCTAAAAAGGTACTTATATCGGTAGCTTAGAACAAAAGTCCCCAGTTCAAAACCTTTGGTAGATTAGGCTTGAAAGCTGGGGACTGCAATACATCTAGAAGTAAAAATGCCAAATACAAACAACTGCTGTCTTGTAGTCTGTTCTTTGATAAAGTCACGGAAGAATATCCAGACACCAAGGCAAAAAAGCAATATAATTACAGAAAAATGATAATTCCACTTAATTAAGTTATTTATTAGAGTGGTAAATCATCTTTTAAGTCAAATTTGACAAATCCTAACAAGGGTGCGGGGGGGGGGGGGGGGTACACCATGACGTAAACCTGATAATGATAGAGACAAAATGCTACATCGAGCTGTATTTATAACCGTCTATAGATAAAAATCGTTAGTATTATATCTAAGCAGAGTTTAAAGCAACCGCCTTGTGGTGTGGTGTGGTGAGGTGAGGGGGGGGGGGTGAAGTTACATTAACTCAACGTTTTAAAATATGCCTGAGGTAAACGGTGTGGTTGAGAATCGTAATAACTGGTGTGTTAATCCATGTATGAGGGGGGGGGGGGTAAAAAGTTGAATACATTTAAAAAAATGTGAATACATATTCATATGCGTAGGCTATATACATACATACTTATATATATATATATATATATATATATATATATATATAACAAAGTGGTCGGGTGCCCAACGGCGCTTCTAATTTGGCAGGCTCCTGCCTTGGGGCAATAGAACACTGGGGTCTGTGCCGGTCGGCCACAAAGTCCACGAAAAGGGGGTCAAAACTGACCTCGACTGACCGGCGCCTTCTATGAGCTATATTTCGAAAAACACATTTGCCGAACGACCCCTACCTTGATATGTTGTGAGGTCGTAGACCGACCCTGGAGGGTAACAAAAAACATTATTCTCGTGAAAAACCCCAATATATCGATGCATGGACATGAAAATACTCAAACTGTTTAAACTTAGGCCCTAAGCACTCCAGTAATTTGGTCGTGTCTATCAGGACTCATCCAACATCATAACCGTCGTTTTAGTGTCTCAGAATGCATCCTAAATTTGATCCAGGCGCAACCTCCATAGTTTACTGCAGAGCTGTTGGAGGTGAAGTACCAGCCACTTCTTCACTTGCTCCTAAGATTGGACCTTTGGGCTTGTCTCCAAAGAAAGTTGGTGATGACATTCAGAAGAGAACAGCTGATTGGAAAGGTCTCAAAATAACAGTAAGGTTTGTAGTACAGAACAGACAAGCTAAAGTAGAGGTTGTTCCCAGTGCTGCAGCACTAATCATTCGTGCATTAAAAGAACCTCCCAGAGACAGAAAGAAGGTTAAACATGTCAAGCATAATGGCAACTTGACAATCGATGATATAATCAAGATATATATATATATATATATATATATATATATATATATATATATATATATATATATATATATATATATATATATATAGCAGTACCGGGTGACACCCGACCTCACTACGCCACTGAGCGGAACACTATCATTTTGGCTTTTGAGTATCTGGAAGTAGGTTAAGCATTATTTCCGTTTACCGGTTAAAACGGATAAAATATTAATTTCATTACTCAGCACAATTACCATACTTCTTCTATACTCTGTATACGGGAAGGTAATTATTAGGAATTAGACGAAATAGATCTAGATAATGAAATTATTATTTTTAATTAATATATTTATACGGAAGTTAGCACTTGTCACTTTTCGTAAAACGTCATCAAATTATGTTTAGTATTTAATTGTATCCTGCGCAGATCCAAGATGGCGACTTTAAAGAGAATCCCCACACTTAAAGCTATAAACCAGCCTTTAGGAATTTAAACATGGTTTGTTAGATTATATTTTTAACTTATGCGAATGTATATGTTTCAAAATATACATTCATATATATTATACGTATATAGATCTATGTAATATTCTTATATGTAAATATATAGATCTATTTCTTTTAGACCGCCTACTACAGTCTCATTACTGAGGTACTGATAGATACATAGCATACTGACAGATGACTAATTAACTAACAGATACGATACGATATATCTTCCTGACACAGTGTCATATACCTGAGACTGGCAAATATTTGACTGACCCGCGTTTGGTAACTTTTCTAAAAACTCAGATGTTGTCAAAGTGATAATATAAACCAATGTTTTCAAGTAAAACAGAGTTACCGTGCTACCACCAAGAATCCTGGGACCACATCAGAACGTCGTGAGTCTGGTTGTAGCTTTTCATCACATCATGGGCATCGAATGGTCGAGAGAATGGTTCTTTCATCTAAGCGAACTTTTCAAACTTTTCAAACCTGAAACCAATAACCCAATATTGAATGTAGACAACCTTGATAGCTCAGGCGAAAATCGTACCGAGCAAGGTTTGGTAGGTTATCACTTTAGTAAACAGATTTAAAACGTGTCTGGTGAATCAAATGTTTTTGAGTGTATTTGTCGTACTTTGGTTCGAAATATTGTGTGTGGATGTGTGTGCGTGTGTAGTTGTTCACTGTATCACCTTAAGACATCGAGCTCTTCGATGAGTCACCTATCAGAGAAGGTAGAGATATTACATGTTAGAGATGGTACACATATCACATGTTAGAGATGGTACACATATCACATGTCACAGATGGTAGACATATCACATGTCACAGACGGTAGACATATCACATGTCACATATCATATTGTATTTGTCATCGTTGGAAAGCTGGACTTCTCATGTGTTTGATAATCTTAATTCCCATCATCTCGGAAACACACAAAGCTTACAATCGGCTTTGCAGTTTACACAGATATGGTATTTTCGTGACCTACCTTTCGTTACTTTGGGGTCATCCATAAATGACGTCACGCTTTTTTGACGATTTTTACCTCCCCTTCCATCCCCTCCGTCACACGTCACAAAAAGCCAGACCCCTCCCCCCCTAAAATGACGCCACACCTCAGCCTACAACCCCACTCAAAACTGCAGTGACGTCGCACCATTTGAACCCCACCCCCTACCCCCTCATCACACACCGTCACAAAATTATGGACCCCCCTACGAGTGTGATGTCATTTATAGAACACCCTTTTTTGCTGTTGTTCTCAGTTCGCAGGATTTAAACACTAAAAAGCCTACTACTTTTTAGTGCAATTTCCATACGGACAATTGCGATTATTAACTCGTTAAGCAAGTTCTGATGATGATTGTGGGCCAAAAACATTCCCGGAATTCCTTCCTGGATTTCCCGGAAAAGCCAAAAAACCTCGAAAAAATGCAGTTTTTGGCCCATATCTCGGCAAC